AGATTTATAAGCAGCGAGTAAACGGAGGAATCTTGAAAATGTTTAACAAATGAAACTATGAATTCACTTATATTGAGTTTACATTTGTTTTTGGATACATTCCCAGTTCTTTGTTTATTATCATAACTCATATTGCTCTGTATTAGTGGAAATCCAATGTTCTTATCATGCATTATTATTGATAAAGCAATAGATTGAAATTAAAAGGTTAAAGATAAATGCGACAATATAAGATCTAGTTATTGTTCAATTGAAAACATGTATACAAATAATAATAATGTAATTATTATCATATTAATAAAAGGTTTCCCTTGTTTTTTGATAACAATCATGTTCACTCTTTATTTTCATCTTTACCTTCATGTGTATGAATAAATTGTATACAAATTTAGTTAACACGAAGTAATTACCTTAATCAATCATAATCAAACAAAATAACGAAATTTCGTGCTTTTGCTGTTTATCAATTATGTTTTGGCCTGATCTTGTATGTGAGCGTCAGTGGTATAACGGTTAGCATAGTTGCCTTCCAAGCAATTGATCCGGGTTCGACTCCCGGCTGACGCATATTTTTTGCAATTTATACAATTTATTTGATTGTAATTAAGTTATTTTGGCTCTCTTTATGATTCCCAGTCAATTTGATAACAATTGGTTCAGGTTAGGATCTTTATCTTGTGATTTTACCAGGCTATTGACTTCTATTGACTTTTATTCAATTTCTATTGACGTAACTTTAAGCATAAAGCAGAAAATGCACTTGTTCTGAGAGTTTTTGTTTCTTTACAACAGGTCAAGTTCGATTTCCATTCGGATTTCCAACATTCAGTTGACCATAGGAATTAGATTTAAACTTAATATTCGTCGATGAAATTTCTGATAAACATCAGCGATCGAACAATTTTGTCGACAGTTCTATTGATTTTGATCATTTACCATTAAGCAATTTGACCATAAATATTTCGAAATTGAATATTAGTCTATTTGCAAAATGGTCGTCAACAATAAAGAAACTTATTTATTGATACATTGTCTAAGCTGTTGATGTTAAACAACTAAAACTTGCACCAAAAAGTAGTTAATTTAAGTACCGTAAACCCTATTCTTTATACAGTTCCAAAAAAAGTTTGACATGGTTTTCTGTCCATTAAACTATCTTTTACACGCAAAATAATTCAATGGTCAATGTGTACATAGCGTCAAAATTGAAGCGAAAGAACAAGACAGAGCTTCCATCATTGGATTCTAATTTAATTACAAAACCTTCATTCACAATTTAAGTGAAAATTTGCATATAATTACTGTTTAGTCATTGACGAGGTGTTTTAGGACACAAATTGGACTGAGTTTTGTATAAAGATGGCCTAAGTAGCAACTTCAAGCATCATAAATCGTCTTCTTCAATACCTTGCATAAACAATTGTTTTCACATTCGCAGTTTAATAACGCATCCGTTTATTGATGAAATTAGCGAAACTAGCATCAATATTTAAATCTGATTAATGCTCAAGGTGTTCAATTCAATTCTTAAATGATTAATAGCAAAAATTAGACTAATAATTGTGATTTTACGCCAAAAAATGCTTAAATCGCAGCAAATTTAAGCTTAATAAACCTTCATCTTTGCTTACTATGCATAATAAGCACTATTTACAACTTAAAATTTTGACGATGAAAGTTTTAGGTACTGTTTGAGAACCACTTTGAGTTGAAAGTTGAAACTTTATGGATTTGTAGAGGAATGAAAACTGAGTCCGTAAGCGCTATTAAAATGTTTCTCCGATCAATAGTTTCCGCGTAAATAAAGGTCAAAGCTGAAATTTCGATTCGCTTTTGTGCGATTGTGGAATGAGATTTTTTCAAGAGATTCATTTTCATGCGATGAATTTCGATGGGCAACCAATCAATGTATTTATTTTAATCAATAACCTTTTCGATTTCTGGATAAAGAGATAAGTTCGATTTTCAGTTAAATCGACAGATCTTTGTGATGGTAAAAGTTAGAGGGCTGAAACCTGATATTCATGCATAAAAATCAATGTTGCACACTGGAAATAAAACAATTTTTTCAAGTTATTGATAGTTCTCTTGATTTTGGACGTTAACCAGAAAACTTTGACCATCGATATTTCGAGAATGGTAGCACACACAATCATCATTCTTCGCCAGACACTAGATTTCATTATGGGCAATTACATGTTATGACTGAATATTGACGAAAACCTAAGCTAATTCATTTAATTATGAATATTTAAAAGTAACCATTTGCTTTTATCGATAAAGATAGACCATCGATATTTCGAGAATGGTAGCACACACAACCACCATTCTTTGAATAAACATTAGATTTTATCATTGACTATAAAGATATCGAAAATTTAGACCTTTCAATATTCTACAAAAAAAGTTATAGCACTGTATTATTTACGCTGTAAGATTTAATCTTTATCGATAAAAGCAAATGGTTACTTTTAAATATTCATAATTAAATGAATTAGCTTAGGTTTTCGTCAATAGGGAGGGCATAACATGTAATTGCCCATAAGGAAATCTAGTGTCAGGCCAAGACTGGTTATTGTGAGTTTACCATTCTCGGACTATCGATGGTCAAACTTTTCAGGTCAACGTCCAACATCAAGAGAACTATCAATAACTTGAAAAAATCGTTTTGTCGCCAATGTTAATCATTCATTTTTATGCATGAATAACAAGTTTTAGCCCTCTAACTTATACGGTCACTAAGATCTGTCGATTTAACTGAAAATCGGACTTATCTCTTTATCCAGAAATCGAAAAGGTTATTGACTAAAATAAATACATTGATTGGTTGCCCAACAAAATTCATTCAACGAAAATGAATCTCTTGAAAAAATCTCATTCCACAATTGCATAAAAGCGAATCGAAGTTTCAGCTTTGACCTGTATTTGCGCTAAAACCGTTTATTTGAGAAACATTTTAGTAGCACTCATTGATTCAGTTTTCATCCTTCTACAAACCCATAAAGTCTCAATTTTAAACTCAAAGTGGTTCTCAAACAGTACCTAATATTGCATCGTCAAAATTGTAAAGTTGTAAATAGTGCTTATTAAGCTTTAATTTGCTGCGATTTAAGCATTTCTTGGCGTAAAATCAAAAGGATTGGTCTTATTTTTGTTATAAATCATTTAAAAATTGAATTGAACACCTTGAGCACATTGATTTTAATATTGATGCTAACTTCGCTTATTTCATCAATAAACTAATGCTTTATTTAACTGCAAATGTGAAAACTCTGTGTTGATGAGTGTTTATTTGCTTACATTTGTTACGTTTTAATTACTTTATTATTGTAAAATCACAATCAATCGCTTAATTTCTGCCACTAATAATTTGAGAATTAAATTAAGCATCCTTAGGAGCATTGATCCTATTTTAATATTGATGCTATTATATTTTGGCTCATTCTATCGACAATTTAATATGTTATTAAACTGTTATTAAATTGATGTGAAAACTCTTGTTATTTATCGTACTAAAGATTACTTATGCTTAAATTTGCTACTGAGTCCATCATGATACATTACGCAGTCTGATTTGTGTCCTAAACATCTCATAAATGAATAAACAATAATTTTTGATGCCAGTTACGACTTATTTGATAAATTAATATAAAGTTTAAGTTATCGAACTATTGATAAAGTACAATGATAGACGCTCTGTCTTGTTCTTACGTTTAATTTTGATGCTATGTACACCTAATTCTTTGTGTTTTAAAAATAAAACAGGATATTGGACTGAAAAGCGAAGTCAAACTTTATTTGGAATCGTATTAAGAATAGGGTTTGCTGTTCTTAAATTTACGACGATTTTAAGCGTTTTTTGATGCAAGTTGTGGACAATGGTTAACTATTGCTTATTTTGTGAATGAATAATAGCCTAATGGACTCAAACGTGATGTCACTTTTTGACATCGTATTAAGAATATGCACCTTAATTTACTACGATTTTAAAAGTTTTTCCATGTTTTTGTGGCTGTTTAGGCTTTTAAAAATTTAATGGCATAGATAATGTACTAATAAAAAGGTCATTTGATTGCTAACACTATTTTGCACTAATAGACTGCATTGTAAGATTGCAGCCTGAAAGGAAATTTATTAAGGTCAAATCGATACTGGTCAAACTCTATTGGTAAAAACACAATTTAATTTTGTTAATCGTTGGAAATTGTGACCAGAAAATAGACGCTTGGATACACAGCTTTCGATTCTAAATTAGGTGTTTTTTTATATAATTTGCAGTCAAAACTTTCGTTTTATTAGGTTATTTTTTTGGTGCAGTAATAGCTATTTAGACTTTTACATGTATCAAATTAAATCGCATAGACAATGAATCAATAAAGTCGCTCGATTGATTTTAGAGTCTTGTTTGAAGCCACTCACAATTGTCTGTCTAATTTTTGTCAGAAAACATTTCAGTTTTCATGATTCTACAAACTCTAAAGTCTAAACTCTCAACTCAAAAGTATTTGTGTTAAGCTTTAACAGATTATTCAGATGCATTTCGGAGAAATTGTTCACAATCCAGAATTCTTTTATTTTTTCAACAACATGTATTGCAGTTTATTCAATTGTATATAATAAATATTCAAATGATAAATAAATGAATTAGAAAATGGTAGTTTCTTTTTTAGAATGAAAATTCAATAATTTATTGTAAAAAATGTTCAGATCTATAACAAAAAAAACAAGGATACAAATAGCACCTCATATCAAAATACAATGCATAATTAAAATAAAATAATTAGGAATCATTGTAAAAATAGCATGACTATTTGAAATTTTAGCATGAATGCTTGAGTCATGGATGATAGCGATAAGACTTGAGGAATCATAGAGTTCCTTGTGTCAAATCATATGCAGAAATGATGAAGGGTGAAATTTTGTTGATGATGATGGCGTACGAAAAAGGCGATGAGGATTGCGCAAAAAAATCATGGATTTAAAAAAGTGTTTCAAGTAGCAAAGTTTATTACGGGAAATATGGCTAAAATCTGAAATGAGCATTGACAATATCTTCATATGTGTCTTTATCAAGAAGTTTGTAAGACATGGATTTGGTGTCTAAGTAATAGATGGGATCTTTAACCGCATTCACGTTGAAACCTTCACGTTTAAGGTCAGATTTGGATATTTTACTTGTTCCAGTATATTGTAGTTCTTTAAGGAGACGAATAAAATGAGGTAAAGCATAATTTGGCAAAGATTGTCGAAGATATTTGAGTAGATTGACTAGATCAAGGGATATTGATGGATCAACAATTGCTGCCATTCCAACTTTACCCTCCTCGCCGGGTACTTCAACACCAAATACTGCGGCATCTGAATGGTCACAGAATCGGGCAATCATTGCTTCAATCTCATTGGTGGCAACATTTTCTCCTCTCCAACGATAAGTATCACCAATCCTGTCTTTAAAATATATATAACCATATTTATCAATGGTCACTAAATCGCCGCTAACAAAATAATAATCTCCATGGGTCAAAACATTCGGTAAAATCTTTTTCCGGGTAGCTTCTTGATCGACATAACCATCGAATCCATATAAACTGTCGTTTTCTTTAATTTTAGCAATTATCATACCGACATCACCCGAACCCACACTTTGACACAGTCCATCTGAGCCTCGAATAGGTTCACCAGTTTCAACGTCCACTTTAATTATGGTTAAAGGGTAAAATATTTTGACAATAAAATCTGGAATAATCTGTTGATAAAAGAGAGGAAAAAAGTTTCAATTAAAATGACAAAAAATGGGTGAAATATTGATTGAACTAATTACTATTAGTATTCTGATTCCTAATTTTTATTTTCACTCAATAAGAAAATTTTCAATTTCCTAGCTTAACTAATAATTCGACTAATTAGCTGTTTTGCATGTCAGCAAAAGCAAACTAATTGTACCGAATCGTAAATTGAAGCTTATTTACATGAACAAAGTGAGTAACTATATTCTGCTTTCTTAGTACTACAACATTATTACAACACCAGCTTCAAATTGTCAGTTTAAAGTTATATTTTGCAGGTTTAATCGCGACAATTACCTTACAATATCTTGAATACTAATTTAAATCAGTTACTTGAGCATTGATTTAATAACTTTTACTAATAATTGTTAGTTGAATCATTGAATTCCGCGTTTTATATGAATTTTTTAACTTACCATGGTCAAAAATCCAATTGCACCAGGTTTACCAGTAATGTTTACTAAAGGAATAAAAGTAGATATTGATTCAATTAATATTTCAAAACACAGAACTTTTTTCACTTACTTAAAGATGAGCTACCCTCGGTTGAGCCATAAAATTCAACAACACGTTTGATGTTGAATCGATTAACGAACTCAGACCAGATAGCACCTCTCAAACCAGTTGATATAACTAATCTAACTTGTCGTTGACCATCAGTGGGCTTAGGAGGTTGAGCGAGTAAAAATCTACAAAGTTCCCCAATATAGAGACCAACCTAATGAAAATAGATGAAAGTAAAACATTGAAAATATAAATAATTAGCTTTGATAAACAAAAAGTGAATCAGCAGAACGTGAATGATCGGGTTGAAATAGATTGTTCTACTTTCTTTGAGAAATGTAAAGATACTTACGGTGCATTTGTTTCGATTAAAATCTTCCCAGTATTTTGAGGCTGAAAATTTGTGTCTAATCACCGATGTACTTCCAGTGAATATGGGCAAAGTGGCACCAAGAACTCCGATCATATGGTAGAGAGGTAAAGGAACATAAAGGATATCTCTAGATCTGACCCCAGCGGCAACCCAAACACCGACAGCGGCATAGAAGACTCTCAGATGCTTGATAACGGCAGCCTTAGGAAGTCCAGTTGTACCAGAAGTATAAGCGTAAAAGCAAGGATCTGATGGAGTTAAGGATAAACTGGTTAATATTATATATTGCGAATCAATGAGAATTTTGTTGAGATTATCTTTTCACTGTTCAATTAATGTCTACTTGTTCAACTGATTACAATAATACAGTGACCGCAGATTAAAATAAAGGAATTCTTACCTTTAGTGCCTGGTCTGTGGCCTGACAAAACACAATGTGAAGTTGACTCGGCAATGAGAGGTTCAAGTTGTATAGGTTTGATTCCATTTCCGATGTGTTCACCAAAAACATACAACATTTTATCATTTCCATTTTCAATTAATGGAAGTGAACCTTTAATTGCTGTGATGGTTACCAAAAAGTAACAAATTAATAAGGATAAGAAAAAGATAGACAAAAGTATAAATTAAAAAGTATCAACAAGTGTACTTTGCACGAAAACAAACAAGATCAGGGTCAAGGAATAAAGCATTAATTCAATAAAAATGATATACCTAAAGAGTCAAATTACATTAACGATGGAAATTATTGAAAAAAATTTCAAACTAACCATGAAAAAGGTAAATTTAAATTAGTTAAATAAAAATGAAAAGTAATTTTGGTTTATCATTAGAAAGTAAAATGCATTAAACACAGCTGATTGAGCGCGAACTTTGTACTTATTTTAGCTTCTGTTTGTTTTAATGAAAATTGCCAATTTTCACAACTAAAATTGAATTATTTTGCCTTTTTATTAATGAATTTATAAAATAAATTTAATCTATTTGTACCCTCAATATAACTGACAATTGATTCAATTAATTGGTTTGTGTCTAATTATGAAATCATTTATATTTGATAGTGCAACAATCAAACGACATTCAACATAGTGTAACCTTTCAACATCTATAGACTAATGGTGTTGCCTTCATGAAATAATCAGTTTTACATAACTTACCGTCACTTAAATTTCCATCATAAATAATTGCTTTAATATTAAGGATATTTATTGAATGGGCCAGTGAATGTGACCTTAAATTAGGATTGACCAAAGCTGTGACTACACCAATCTTGGACAATCCAATCCAAATGGCAATATACTCTGGTCTTGACTCCATTATCAAGGCAATCTCATCGCCAGGCTTGTAACCCTCTTTATGGAAATAATTGGCCACTTGATTAGTGTATTGGTTAAATTGTCGATAAGTCCAATGACGATCTCCATCAATGTATACAGTCTTATTAGGCCTAATGGACGCCTGTTTGTCCAAAAAGTCCCCTATCGTCAGGTTATTGATTGAATACCAGAGTAACTTGGCTTTAACGGTTAACAAAGTATAACAGCCCCTGAAATGATAAACAAGATTAATATAATTATAATCATTGAATTGTTTTCAAATACAAATTGTACAATTTAAGCATCTTGGGGTCATCCAAAGGCAATTGTCAAGCCATGCTTCAAACTGTGACCCTCATAAGGTAATTATTTGGTCAACCTTACTGTGATTGTATCTGGATTTTAGGCTTTTGAATAGTGACATTGATTGGTTGACAATTTAACCAAAAAAAGTGCATTCAATCCCTTTATTGAACCAGTTTAATTTTAATTGAAGCAATTTATTGTTAAAGGTAAAACTAATTTTGATGACAAATTGGTCCTTTTCAGCAAATCAATTTAGCTTGAAATTTTTTCCCTCTCTCTACACATTTTTGACTAATTCAATATTCAATGAAAGCTAAATGGAAATATTGAATATTTCTTTGTAAATCTGATCATTATATCATTATTGGTTATTAAATGATCTATTTACAATCACAATTTGCCAACAATTCAACCATAAACTCAAACACTTTAACACTTTCTCCTGAAGCTTCCTCATTCCCATTCAATTGTCAAATTGAAAGGAAATCAACTTCACCATTAGTGATCAGGTTAAATATTATTTGGAAATCCACTTTTTGTGTCCCTTTTTCATCAATTCAGCCAATTAATTATAGCCGATCAATTACCGATGATTAGATGAAATTTGGTTTGCCAACTTCAAGTTGTAAATACTAATAATAACCAACACTGAAATCAACCAACCTTTACCTGCTCATCTTCATTCAAATGTATCACTAGATGAAGGGAAAAACAAAACAAAACCAATTGGCTCATCTAAATTTTCAATAATTGCTGTTAACTAATTAGAAACACAAAACACGTTCAACTTTCATTTTTTTTGTGTAAACTCAAGTTTACAATCAACAGTTAAAATATTGTTTCAAGTTTCAACTTACGATTAACTCATTGTCTCAACTGATTCTCAAGCTTAGTTCAAATACAAGCATCAAACCAGCTGAACAGTTAGTAAATTGTTTGCTAACAGATTATCTGATTAACTTTCCTCAACTTTTACACTTAGAATAAAGTTCAATATCAGATCTTCTTCTTTAGGCAATTAAAGAGGAAAAGTTCATCAAATCAACTAATCTGATTACAATTCAATGCTATCCAAGAATGCAAATTAGTCTAATCAAAGGTTAAGCTAATTCACTGGACTTTCCTCCTTCAATAGACTCTAATCAAACTGAAAATCACTGTTTCTTGGCCATCATGGACACAATTGTAATTCAATAATTTACATGGCAATTCAATCGTTTCCATATCCAAAGATTAAAAAATTGTTTACCAATGCAGATGATTATTCAAATTACTTGCTCTTCAGAAACAGCTAATTTAAAATTTCCATCAAAGCAACCATCAAAAACTGGGCAAAATGACAGTCAACTGAATTATTTACAAGAAACTCGTTATTTATTTCAGATGGACTTTGATTTGTATCATCCATTTCAATCATCTTCATGAGATTTTCCCGATTTGCTACATTTGAAGGTAATGTTTGATATGAAATTACAGACAAGTTAAATTAAGGTAAAGCAATCGCTTAAGGTCAAGATTGAAAGTGAGACAGCTTCAAAGGTAAACAAGTATTAAAATAATAAACCAATTTTGACTGTTTTATTTAGATATTTCTTACCTTTATATTATATAATAATAATTATTATCAAGTTAACCTTGGCTTAATTTCAGTTACCTGTAATTCATTTGAGAATAAGAAATTGAAAAAAAAATGTTTTTACCTTAAGTTTTAACTTTGGTTTTCCCTTTACTATTTCTACCTTTAATTTGTCTTCTCTTTTTTCCTTCTCTCTATCTTTTGTACCTTGCTGGGTCACTTTCACTTTTAGGAACCACAAATTTCCTTCTCTTATTTGGTGTATTGAAAATTTCCTATTCATGGTTGACCTTTCAAATAGCTTTACAGTTCGGAAGTCAACAAATACACTTTAACCAGTAGTACCAGAAATTCAAGGTGTAAGTCTCAAGTAAACATGATAATCAAGAAGGCAAAAGGATTGGTCAGAAAATCAAATATGGAATTGAATAAATTGCATAAAAACCCATGGTAATTATAATTATGGAAAACAAGTAAATGCTGGAGTTAATTGGAGAGTCCAGGGAAAACTGGTTGGCAACCAGAATTAATTGAACAATACATGAGAATGTAATGTTTATGGTAGAATGGGTTGAATTATTGTTTGCTTGGTAAACAGCAATTGGAATATAATTTAGATTGTTAAACAATCGTCTATGAGAGTTGGCTTCAATAATTAATCATCGATTGATATATTGATAAAATAAACCGATAGATTGAATGACACCCAAAGTGCAATCACAGTTGTAAATAAATAAACAAAATGTCGCTTACCATAAATCTCTGTAGATAACATGATAGAGAAAGTGGAAAATTTGTTGAACAAAACTTGATATATCCAGTGTCATCTTTCAATTGTGTATCAGAGTAATTAAGATGAACTTTAATTGTCTTTGTGGACCACTCTAACCGTCAAGTGTTAACGTCTTTGAGTGTTGTTTGTGTCTCAAAAGTAACACAATCTCATGGGGAAACCATCAAAAGTGAAATGTTTGGCTACTCGGTTGACAGAACACTTATGTAATCCATGAATTTTCACTAATTTAGATCCAGTGTATGGTGTGAGTGTGAAATTGCAAGTGAAAATATTGAAACAACTTTTAAATCAACATGAAACTATCTCAACTAAACTGAAAAAACAACTCTCTCAATTTTTCACTCTTCTCCTTCGTTTCAGATAACACTCACTTTATCTCTCTCAATTATCATTTCACTCACTTATAATTTATCTAATTATCTTTACATTTCTATCAATAAATTGTTTAAAATCAGCCTCACAGTTTCATTGTCGGCTATTGTTGACCTTTTCACTGTTTACATTGTTAGCCCCATGTCTCATCTTCCATTCATTTTCTAAACCTTTTTCTTTAATCTTTACCTTTACCTTGCGGTCTTGTCCAAACCTTTCAACTCTTTTTCCACTGAAGTTTAGTCTAATTTTGTCACCAGCCATGATTTTATTGTTGAAAGTCAATAAACAATTGAAGTTAACCAAGAAAAAAATTACCATTTCTAGCATCACATCATTGCCGCCAGTTTGAACTGCCTAATGACCCTGCAGATGGCACTTAGCTTATGGCGGGTAATAAACAGGATAAACTCCCATTAATGAAAAAACGCATTTTTGATTGTTTATTAATTAAAGCGTTTTTGTCCTGTTTGTTAATTTTGTGGATGACAAATGTAATACTTAACACTAGATGATATCACTGGCATGAAGAATAGATTACATAACAATTACGCATTTTAAAGTTTTTAAAATGATTGAAAGGCTTTGACAAATGACTTTTAGATTTTTGTTTTAAGAGATTTAATTAAAATCAAAAAAATGAACTAGAATTGTAAATTTTTCAGTCGAAATGTCGTTAGCTCGAACGAGATAGAAACAAATCACACATTTTGTACAGTTATATCAATCATTTGGTTAAGAAGACGGTTTAAAACTTAAGGATCAATGAATAGCTATTAAAGACAAGTCAGGTTGATAATGACTCATTATGGGATAGGTTTAGAGCTAGGTGATAAAGCTTTTTTTGGACTGGGTTCAAGGTGGACAATGCTTAACTAATATAACAAAATTTAATAAAATTAAATTAAAAAATAAGTTATATTATTGTTAAATAGAGTCTTTGTTCAACCTTGGACAAAGGATTTAAAGGAAAAAGGCTTTCTTTTTGTGATAGTTTTTCAACTGCTGCTTGTGCTTTTAAGCTTGTTCTTTTTTCACCTCTAGATGGCAGTGTTTAGTTTAGTGGCCATTTTGGTTTTGGTGAAAGCAAATGAAAATAGTGAATATTGTATCTTTTAATAATTGGTTAATTTAAAGTAATTAGCCGTTATTGTTTTTTAACACAACAACCCATCCATTTCTAGTGTTGATTATAAAACATTAATCTATCGTCAGAATGGGTCGAGGCCGACCAGTGCCAAGGAGAGGTCGACCTCCCAAGGATGCCGAATCTGCTAAGAGATTGGCTCAAATGAGAAAACCAAAGTATCTTTATTCGGGACAAAAGCAACAGCAAAGCAAGCTCTCTAATAGCTCTTCAAATAATTCATCTCGTAGTCGATCGAAAAAGAAACAGCCATGGGAAGGTGAATCGGATGAAGAAGATTATACATCAACATCATTTAGTCGTATATCTAGGAGTGCATACTTTGAAGATGATGATGAGGAGGACAAGTCTCTCATGTCTTTCGGCGATGATGGTAAAAGTGCTCAATGGGATGAAGAAGATGATATGGAAGAAGATGCTGATGATGATGAGGCCAGTGCATCACCCTCTCAACCCTCTAATTCTGTGGACTCTAAGCTGAAAATGGGTCGCTTCCTTAGAGCCAGAAGCCCACCAAGGTTTGAAGAAGACAAGCTCGCTGATATGCCCCCCTTAAATTTACCTGAATCATCAGCTGATCTTCTTTTGCCGCCTCATCTTGCATCCAAATACTTAATGAAAATTTTAAGTGTTTATGAAATTTTGAATCAATTTAAATTCCAATTGAGGCTTTCTGCTTTTCGTTTGGAGGATTTCATTTCAAGTCTTCTTCTTAATGAGAACAATGCTCTTCTCTCAGAAATTCATATAAACCTCATCAAAACTCTGATACGAGAAGATGAAACTAATTCCACTCTTTTTGGTTCTCAAGATGTTAAAGACTCTATAGGGATATATTTATACAATTGTGACCCATTAACGTGGCCAACAGTTCTTAGAATGTACATTATTTCACGTCGACGAGAAGAAACACCTGAAACAAAGGAAATGATTGATCTTCTCATACAGAATAAAAAATATGAGGAATATCCGATTAATGTTCCTTTCGAATACAAGGTTCAAGTTTTAAAATTTTTGTGTGACACTTTCCTTGAAACCAATGTGGCTCGAGATGAAATTTTGAATGGTGAAGCTGGTGTTCGCCACGATGATCACTGTCGGAGGTGTCATAAGTTAGGTGATCTTCTCTGTTGTGATCGATGTTCATCTGTTTGGCATCTTGGTTGCTTAGAGCCTCCCATGAAAGAAGTGCCTGAAGACGAGTGGGTTTGCTCTATTTGTAAACAAATGGCCAAAGAAACTGGTTGTGCCAATGAAGATGGAACCATTGCATCATTTGGTGATGATGAAGGTCTTTTTTTGAGACGCTATACCCTTGGCTGGGATAGGCATGGTAATAAGTATTGGTGGTTATGCCGTCGTTTAATCATTGAGTTCAACAATGAAGATCAAAAGCATGAAGAAGAAAATAGCCAAAAAGAAGATAAGTGTATCTATATTTCAACTAAAAAAAGATTCCTTGAGCTCATGAAAGCGTTGGATAAAGATGAATACGAGAAAGATCTTTATAATGTTCTCAGTGAGATCAAAGACGAGATTTTTAAAGCCATGGAGAGGACTGAAAAAATGACAAAAGACGCTCTCAAGACAACCGGCATGACCCGCGCGATGAAAACATGGATTGAATTTGAGACTGAAGCGTCCGATCTTGTAGTGAAAGATGAATCGACCGAAAAATGTGAAGACAAACCTGCCAACAGCAACAGCATTGGCGAAGGAATTATGACTCGTCTTAAGACTGGGTCCTTAAAAACTGGCTCTGGTTCTGACAATGGCAAAGAAGATGACAAAGATATTATTATGGTTTTTGATGAAGCTTTAGATCCTAACTTTTTAATTCGTATGTCCAAACGAGATGCAGTTGCTCGAGGTCTGTTTTTCAAGCTTGGTATGGAGACCAAAAATTATATCAACATTTTCTCAATCAACATGCTTGCTTTGAATAAACATCAGCTTGCAGAAGAACGTGACAAGAAGAGACATTTATCTCATAAGTTTAGTTTGACGCCGCTGTCAGAATTCAAGTGGCAAGGTACTGTTTATGGACCTTTTAAACCTACCATTGTTCAAACCCTTAGACAAACTCTGGTTCAATTCGAAAATCAACTAGCTGCTCCTTTCATGCATCCTAATTGGTCTTTACATCGACAAAATTGGTTGAAAGCTGTTTCTATGTGTAATCAACCTAAAGATTTCACTTTGGCCCTTTCCATCCTTGAAGCTGCTATGAAGCCAGTAATTTTCAATCCTGTTTGGAATGAAGCTCTGGGTCACACTCTTCTAGACAGAAACACTAACCTGGAAAGAGAAGAAAGGAAGAAGGATGAAAAAAGAGAAAGGCGGGAATTCATGGAAGAGCAAGAAATGATTATCAGAACTACTGGTGGTGTAAAATACTCAATTATGCCTCATCGTGGTCTTCAACTGGAAAAGGCTGGTAATGTATGGTATGGCTTTGGCACTCAAAGTGGATCCATTGGTTTTGGTACTACCGGTGGAGTCGGAGAAGGAGGAGGTCGAGGTGTTCAGGCACTTTGGAAACAAAGAGGTGAAGAATATCGAGTTAGTGGAAGTGGAGGTTGGATGTTCATCAGTATTGCACGTTCTCGCGTTCCGCTTCCAGTAGATGGTGAGCGAGCTGATGAAATTGAAATACCTGAAGAGCTCGCCGGAGAAGTGATTGAAGTTTCCTTCATTGATGTAAGTGCAGATCTTCGAAAAGATCGAGAACAGCGTTCTTTTTATCAAAAATATCGTCCCTATAAAAATAAGCGTAAAGGCTTGAAAGTGATAGAAAGCTATTTGGAGCGAAGGTTACTCCTCGAAGAAGCCATCATTCATCAAAAATTGAAAGCAGAAGAAGATGATATAATTAAGCCGGAAGATGTCGATGACGAAGACTATGGTAGTACCTGTTATTCTCCATTGTGTCGTACTTCTGGTATTGGTGCTTTTGATTCTTTGTGCTACTCTATTAGCTGTAGAAGACGACAAAAAGCTAAACGAATCAAATTGCAGGAAGGAAAGAAGGAAAGAGAAGAACGAGAGAAGCGTTTCAACTTGGCCAAACAAGAACAAGAAAAAGGTGAAACTCAAGACTTTATTGGCAATTGTCGAGATAAAGTATATCTTAATCGAGTTGAAAAACGTGTGGTTAAAGAGGGTGAAAAGGATGAAATCAAGTATACCATTACAAAGACAAGTGGTAAACGAATTCTTGGTAAAGGTCAACTGCCCCCTTGTAACAGGTTTACTACTCTTAAGGGTAAAAAGAAATCTATTTTTGTGTTACCCAAGCATGAACTTCGTCGACTTTCCCGCAATGCCAATCTACGAGAAGTTGCTGGTTTCAACTATACTGGTAAATTCAACAAATATCTCTGGCCATATGGTATCTCACCCAGACCTTTGTTCCGATACTGTTGGCTTTGGAGAAACACTTTACCACAAGGATATCATAATTTAAATCTAGTTGCTGCTCAATTACGAACTGTTTGGTGCTGCATTCGTTGGGATGACATGCAAGTTAAACCTCCACCTTCGGGTAACAACACAATAACAAATGAGAATGAAGTCATTACAACAGAGCTTCTTAAAAGGAGAGATTTGGCGCCTTTTGGTATTCGATCAGAATATCTTGTCAGAAAGATTATTGTTCCATTAGTTAATGATGATCCTGCGGATGACAAAGACACACCTTATGGTCCAGGAAGAAGCGAAGAAACCTATAACCGAACTGGAAGACGTATTCGAGAAGGGCTTCGAGAGCGAAAGAAAAAAATAGACGAAGAAGAAGAACGTCGTCGACGAGGACCTTCAGTAACAGAGAGCTGGGTTGGTGAAGAAGAACTCGAACTTTGGGAGATAAAGATGTTTGGTGAAAGATTAGAGAAACAACAACAGATGAAAGAAACTGAAAAACGCAAGCAAATCGAAGAGACTTTGAAAAAACAGAGAGAAGAGGCTGCAGCTAAGCGCATTAAAGCTACTCTGGGCACACCAACTGCAGGAAAAGTTACTTCGCTAATAAGTGGACCTAAACGCATCTTCAACAGTCGAACCCCAACAGCAAATACCACAGTAACTGCAACATTAACCGCTACACCCACTACACCTCAAATTGTGACACAAGCTCAACAATATGCAGTTATTAAAACGAATGGTGGTCAAACATTCAAGGTTCCTGTTAGTGCATTACAAGGTAAAACTGTTGGACAGCAAATCATTATCAAACAAGGTAATAATTTGGCTGCTTCAACCACCGCCACTATCATTTCTACTGGTACACCTCCAACTGTTACAGCTCCACTTACACCAGCAGCTACTTCTACCCTTAAGCCTGTTACTCCTACTGTTTCTTTGCCTAATTTCACTGGTAATATTAAGTTACGTACTGTTGGAGCAACTCCAACCGTAAGACCTCTTATATTATCCGGATCAACAGTACAGCAAACACCAACTAACAATGGACAGAGAATACAGATAATAAAGCCTGTTGTAGGTACAACTCCTCAAACTGTAAAAACTGTCAATGCCTCTGGATTAACTGTTTCATCTAATATTCTGGGTTCCGCCACTTCCACTGGAAATGCGGGTCAGCAACAATCACCTCAGTCTACTATACAAATTCCTTTGAGGTTCCCAGATGGTCGTATGCAAATTATTCAAATACCATTATCTATGTTTTCTTCAACCACTCAGCCTATTCAAATTGCAATCCCATCCTCGGTAACTCAACAAACTACACAAACGGTTACTGTAACATCGACACCTCAATTGGTTACAACAAATGCATCGCCTGCTCAAACTCCAATGGCTACTCAATCAATCAAAATTATCACTAACACTTCTAATTTAACTCCCACCCCATCATCCACTACCCCAAATCAAACAAATGTCACTCGTTTCATCACAATGAAAACCACTCCTCAAGTGACATCGACAACAGCCGCTTCTACAACAACGATCTCCCTTGCATCAACTTCAACCACTCCACAGACCAACATTACTGAGCAAGTAGCTCAGCAATTAAAAACTGGAAGTATCCAATTAAAGTTGAACCAACCTGCTTTATCTTCTCAAGCTGGGACCATTAATGCTACCAGTACAGCAACAACAGTTACTCCGTTGGCAACAACTCTACGACTTGCCACGGCAAGTCCAGGTCAAACACTGACCGCCTTGACAAACAGTTCGACTGTTTCAACTTCTGTTGTTTCCAATACTATTACATCCCCTGTATCTACCACAGCAGGTCCTGCCACAGTTTTAGCTTCACCAAATGCTAAAACTGCTAGTTTAGTTCGAACAGCTTTCCAAAGTCCTGTTGGGACTCGCATTTTGGTCCAGCAACCTAACAATACTTCTACAACTATTCATAAAGTAACCGCGCCATCATTAAAAATCATAACATCATCAAGTCAAGAGTCTACAGATAAAACAACTTCATCTGATAGCTCAAATAAACCATTTGTATTGACTCAAGAAATTCAAGACAGAATTGTTAGACAAGCTCTGCTCAACACCAATACTTCAACTCCACCTGAGGTTCAACAAAAGCTACTCGCTTGGCAGAAAAAGCAACAACAACCTGGACAAGTCGTAGTTACACCAGCCATAATAGATTCTTCAGGTACTGGAAGAACTGTGACTCCTTCTACAAGTGGCCGTTCTAAAGGTGTTAAGCGAGCTAGAAACACTTCAACAACTACCACTATAACACCTACAACTGTTCCTAATGTTCAATTAACTGGCGATGATGAAGAGAATCGTCGATTACTTGACTGCCAAGCAGTACTTGTTGGTATTCTTGATAAGATTGAAAAAGACGAAAAGATGGAGTTGAGACGGAAAAAGGCAAAAGAAAATCAATTCCAATCAAAATGGAAATCTTTACTCACAAAGAAAAAAGAGATTCTAAATGAACAAGCCGAAATTTTGAAAAGAGATATTGCAAGAAAGAAGAGTTTAATGAAAGAAAAATTAAGAAAAGAAATCCAAGCTGAAATGAACAGAGAAAGTCCAATTAAAAAGAAGGAAACTCCACCGAACAATAAAGTTAATAGCAATGGAGCGTCTACTACCACTACAACTACTAGTTCAAATACTAATAGCAGTAGCAATGAAAGTACCCCTAAGCGTAGAAAACTTTCCGATTCAAGTTCCGATGTGTCTCGACCTCCTTTAAATAAGATACGAATAAAAATAACACCACTTAATCCAAAAGGTAGCACGGGAGATTCCAATGCAACAAATACCTCAACTGCAGGCAACAAAAACAAAAAACTTTATTGTATCTGTAAAACTGCTTATGATTCATCAAGATTTATGGTTGGCTGTGATAGTTGTCATAATTGGTTCCATACAGATTGCCTTGGTTTGGACGAAGAAACAGTTAAAAAGAAGAAAAGTTGGGTTTGTAATGACTGCCGTGATAGTGATGAGGAAAATGGAAATGGCGATGGCGATGAAGAAGAGGAAGATGACGAAGGAAGTACTCCTGAATCTTCTGATATCGAACAAGAAGTGCAACCTCAACCCCAACCTCAACCTCAACCCCAAACCCAACTTCAGCCCCAACAGCAACAACCACCCCAATTACAACCATTACCACAATTACAAACGCAACCCCAACCTCAACCAGTATCACAGTCTCAACCACCAATGCCAACACTACCACCACCACAACTTATATCACAACGTCAAGCACAACAGCCTACGCTTGAATCACAATCACCACAACAACAAGAGCAACAGCAACAACCACAACAACAGCAAGAACAACAAGAATCCAAAGTTAAAGTGGATGCTAAAACGGAACCAAAGCCAGTACCAAAGGTCGAACCAAAAGTAGTCAAGACTCCCAAAAAACAAGTCAAGAAAGAGATCAAAGGAAAAAGATCAGGGAAAAAAGATCAAGTAGATGAAGAAGAAGACGAAAGTAGACTTTACTGTATGTGTAGACAACCTTATGATGAATCTCTTTTTTACATTCAATGTGACTCATGTCAAGACTGGTTGCATGGTAAATGTGTTGGTATAGTTTCAAAAGAAGCTCAACTTTTAGACACTTATAACTGCCCTCGATGTGCACCAAATTCTCTAATCAACTATTGTAATCAGAAGAAATTGGATTCTAAAGATTTTAGCTCACTTAAAAGTTTAATGAAAGAGTTAAAATCGTTCAGAAGTGCTTGGCCTTTCCTCAAGCCAGTTGATGCTACTGTTGTTCCGGATTATTATAGCATCATTAAAAAACCAATGGATATGGCAACCATGGAACGTAAACTTGAGTCAACTGCATACGCCACATTAGCCCAATTTATTGGAGATTTAACGCTTATTTGTGACAACTGTCGCTATTATAATGACAACAAATCAACATTCACAACTTGTGCTAATTTGTTGGAAACTTTTTTCCTCCAAAGAATTAAATCCTTCCGTCAACAAATGTTACAAAATAAATGAAACTGGATAAAAAAAGTAAACCTGAAACTGAGAATCAAAGAAAAATATGATATAGAAACAATTTTCTCTTGTTTTCATGCCCTGTAATGAAAATCATCACCATCATTATCTCACCTAATAACACAACCTGTCATCTTCATCTTAATCACCAATTTTGAAAAAAACGCATTCATTTAAATAAGTAAAAACTCATTGCATTGTAGAACGATGTGAATTTCTTAGTTTTTCTCTCATGACTTCTCTAGTTATACCCCTTTGTATCTTTAAATGCTATCAAATGGCTTCCAAGTCAAGTTGCATCAATACCTTCTCCAATAAAACATCATCTTGTCATCCTTTAAAACTGTCCTCATTTTAATACTAATTTTCGGTTTGTACATGTTTCATCGATCATTTAACCATTAAAAATGGATGTAAAGATAATAGACGCAAGACTCATTACGATTTTTTAGTTCAGACACGAGATACTGAGAAGGTTAAAATTTCCACTTACAAGATTGTTACGCTTGTAAGATTAATTTTAGTAAATCAGTGAACAATAATCACGGATCGTCCAATTAGCATTGAGACTTATTTTTTCAAAATTTTGAATAATTTTGGCGATAATTAACGCGAGGCGATTGAAACATTCATCATTTACATTGATTTCTATTACGAGAAATTGATTTGGTGCTTTCCCATAGAAATCAGTGTTAAATTAATAAAATTCATAACTTTCACAAATATTGCGACTTCCCAATACCAGAACGAGTTGATACATTCACAATTACTTTAATTAGAAGCTTAAAAAAAGTCAAATCTTAAATTTATAATAACACACCAATATAGCTATTAAGATTTTTGTTGTATCTTCATTTATTTGGTGTTAAGAGTAAAACTGTCTTTTATTCAAGATAGATCAAACAATAGTTTATGGTTTAAATAGTCTTATTACCATTTTTTGTTATTTCAAAGTATCAGTGTAATTCAATGCTGATAAGTTAAATTTATTTTACTTTAAATTGAGCTTGACAGAGAAAATTGATTTTAGACCAATTTACCTTTCTGTCTGTACATTCATTGTTTTCATCGCACTACAGAAGCTCTTTGCTAATGTTCAAATGAATGGACGGATCATTGAAATAAGCTTAGAAATAATTAATGAGCACTGGAAATCAATTAATTAATATTCACCAGATGAGGATGAGGCACAGAGGAAAGATGCATTGGAATCATGAAAATAATTGGATCAATCAGCAAAGTTTATTCAGACTTTTCGTTCAGACATTTACCTCTGTCTCTGTTTCTTTCTACAATCATCTTTACCATCTTTTGCTATTCCTAGTTCTCTCACTTTTATCTCTCTCTTCCCTCTCTTCCCCTACCCCTGATCCTCACACGTTGTCAGTATTAGTTAATTGATTTGAACGGAAACAGTAATGTCTTTTAATTCAATTCGATCAGAATAGATCATCTCTTAATCATCTTCATTTCTGCTTTGTAGTTACTCAGTACATACTTTTACTTTAAGTTGCACCTCGACTGCCATCGTTTTTTTTCAAAATCAAATCATGTTTTTAATGTTAATTGTGTTCGCTCTCGCAGCTTTTGGCTTTTATTGGCTTTACCGAAATGTACTGTCTAAATTTGATTGTGACTTTTGCATGAAGCTATATGAGAAATATGGCAAACAACCAAGTAAGACCATATACCTTTAACCATATTAATAGTTCAACCTTTAATTTGCTTTCATTTTCAATTGTCTTCCAGGTGAAACTTTGAAAGGTAAACGAGTCTGGATTACAGGAGCAGCCAGTGGGATTGGTGAAGCTTTGGCTTACGAAATGGCGAGCTGTAAATGCAAACTGGCTTTGTCTGATCTGAACAATCAAGGTTTGGAGCGAGTTAAGCGGAAAATTGTTAACCATCATGGTAAGTAACCAATTCTGGTAACAAGAGACAGAAAAATATCAATATATCACCTTAAATACATTTTATTCTGAACATAATTTCCGCAGGTTTACAAGATAAAGATGTTTTGTTGGTTCCTTTCAATCTAACTGAAACAGCTAAACACGAAGAAGCTTACAAAAAGATAATGGCCCATTTTAAACAGGTAATTATACGAGTCTCTACATTTATCTCGAAATTCAAATTCTGGTTTAGAAATCATATTTTCCTTGAGCCATCAGATTATTGAATTAGCAACAACTCAAACAAAATCCTTTCTCCATCAGATCGGGCTTAATTTTTTGAAATCAGTTGTTACATAAGTCTCATATCGACCAAGATTAACCTTTGTCATGAAATAATTTCCCCTAAACCAGGAAAATCCGTTGATCTCGAAAAATTATAAGATTTATTTATCACAAAATTCTTGTTATTCTACCCTCTGAATCGAAGTCCAGACCGAAGTCCCTCTGAATCAAGACCAATTCATAAAATATAAATTTTTAATAACTTCTATTTTTTGGATCTTTTTAGATTGATATTTTCTTCTGTAACGCTGGACGATCACAAAGAGCGAAATTTGAAGATATTGATATACAAGTTCACCGAGAATTGTTTGAAATAAATGTCTTTAGTGGAATCAATTTGAGTCGATTGTTGGTTCAAAATTGGATTGAAGAGAAGCATCCAGGTCACATTGTTGTAACATCAAGTGTCGCTGGTAAATTTGGTTTACCTCAATCTGCCTCATACACTGCCTCAAAATATGCCTTATTAGTAAGTTCAGGTTACTTAATTCACAGTCTTTAAATGTTCAGCTAATTGATTCTGTATATTTATTTTTCCAGGGTTATTATGACTGTTTGAGGAATGAAGTTAAATCAAAAGGAATCCAAGTTACAGTTGTCTGTCCTGGTCCAACAGCTACCGCAATCCTAACTAAATCATTTACCGGTAAACCTGGTGAAGTTTATGGTAAAGAGTTTGGTGAAGTGGAAAGCAGAATCCCAGCTGACCGACAGGCTAAAATGTTTGCAATTGCTGCAGCTAATGGAGTTGCCGAAGCTTGGACTTCACGACCACCATATCTGTGGTTGGTTTATGCTGCACAATATGCGCCATCATTATTTAAAATATGTTTCCCAATTTTCTGTAATGAGGAAATTCTGAAAAAGATGAGAGATGGACATTAAGCACCTTAACACATGGAAATTTGTCATAAATTAAAGTTTAGCCTTTGATTTTTTGTATGAAAGTTTATAAAAAATATAATATTTACCAACATCTTCACCGTCAATCTATTTGATTATCCTGATCGGTTAGAAACTAAATACTTGATTAATTTTTCGAATCGTGTTCTATTCTAATTTGTCTCTAATTGATAATCATAATTGACCTTGATTATTAAACTGATTTCAAGTAAGTTGAAACAAGGCTTTTTACAATACAAAAAGTTAAACTCACCTAAAAGATCCAGATTTAGAAAGTGGTGAAAAGGTAAATTTGTCCTTAAAAATTGATCCAATTACTTTTTTTAGTCACTAATTGTGAATTATATTTTCAGAAACTCTACTATACAAAACTCCCTGAAGACCAGTATGAAGAAGAATAAAAGAACTGAAAAATTCAGGTTGAAAAATGCTGTTAATGACGGTTATGAATTTGTTAATGTCAGTCAGCAAATGAAAAAAGATGCACATAATGGGCAAATAAACTGGGTCCAGAAAAATTGAACAATGTCTCGATGAAACACAATGATGATGATGTTTAAAACATAAATTACAGTTAATATAAATCAAGTAAAGTATTCAATTGGAAACAATTTTTGTATCTTCTTTTATCAACTATTCATGATTCGGCTGTAAAATTGAGTCGCATCAACCGATAAAGACTTTCTCCATGTAACAAAAAATGTATTATTTTTCAATTAATGAAAGTGTTTTTAATTGTACCGTAAACCAATTGCTGATTGACCTGATCGACCTTTTTTCTCTTCTTCTTTTTCTTGTTTCTTGAGATGATATAAAATTGAGATCATAATGGAGTTGATTTGAGTTGAGAGTGAAAAAATTGAGGCGGGTCATTGATAGTAAAAACAAATCAAAGAACAGTTGACTTTTGTTGTGATTTGTTTCTTGTTTTCACTGTTGTTGATATCCCATGAATTGGGAGGATTCATTCTGATGTTGGGTTACAATTATTGAGATAACCAGTTCACCGTGACAATTTAAACATACTTCAAGTAGACTAAACTTTATTTAAAGACTACTGGAGTATTAATGGGTTTGACTTGAGTGCGGTTTTCAATTCATTCGTGAGTTTCAAGTTGGGCAGTTAATAAGTGCTTTAACAACCAGCAAGACTTCAGTAACTGTTGTCTTATTGTATTGTTGTAAATCTGGTACAATTCACCTTCACTCTCATCATAACAAACCTACCTTACCAATAAGATAGTGTTTACTGGAGTACAGCCAAATTAGTATTCTGTTATTTACAGAATCATTTCTGGTTTCTCTGGGTTTGTGTTTTGTGATAGTGTTTACAAGTGATTATCAACTGGTTTATCAACATAATTGATATAATTTATTGATTCAGCAATCCTAGACAAAACATTTAAATTGCCAAGGAAATTTCACCTTTACTCAACCAATCCTCAAATCTGGTGATTTTCATCTTCTATAAAAGATACAGATTCATAGAAGATAGGGTTTTGATTCCCATTTGCCATCAGTTGTTTTTCAAGTGCGTCTTATAATTTTTCTCATTTATCTTTTGCCATTTCAATTGATTCTTCGCAAGATAATTAACATTATTTTCCCTTTTGTTTTCCTAATTACCAGGTAATCATTTAATCTTCAAATATCCGTTAAATACAAGTATCTTTCATCAATATTGATCAACAATACTAACAACATCAAATCTCTTGTTGTGAAGTCAAGCCCTCTAAAATAGTAAATCGTTTAAAATTAAAAATGGCCTATGTCCGTGGAACACTTCGATCTCTTCTTGAAATGCCTTTAAAATCAGCTCCACCGATGGTTAAACTCAACCTTTCAACATTATCAGTTCATCATGACCAAGATTCAAATGAATTCACCATCAGCTGTGGCAAAGGTTAGTTTATTTAAACAGGTGACTGCAACTATACATCACTATGTTATTTTCTGGTTTTTTTGTTAAATGTTTAACACCATCTAAATCAACTAATTTCTTCTTCTTTTTCTCATTTAATTCCAAAATGTGACGATGAAGGAGGTGACAAAGCCGTTCTAAATTATGAATATTTAGCCAATGATTTGGTTGAATTGTATCACACTGAGGTACCTGTTACATGTCGTGGCCAAGGAGTCGCTAAATTATTGGCACAAGTTAGTTCATTCACCTTGTTCTCAATTCTTAATTTCTCCTTCAATTCTATAACAACATGCTCAACACTCTCACCTTTTCATCTCTTTTACCATCAAACTCTTCATTCATGATATCAGTCAACCACTCAGTCATTCACTTTCATCATTATCCTCCTATCCGTCCACCTCCACCTTTACCCTCTCTTTTGTGCATTCAAATTTTGTTCAATACATTATTCAGTTGAAAGAAAACGCTATTAACCAAATAAGCTATCATCTTGGCCATTCCAAATACAAAGCTGATTTGAGCATCAAGGTCATCTACCTTTTTATTCAATCGCTTTCTGTTCATAGTCTCTATCTATTACGAATAATAAGTGCCTGTAGCTTCCGGGTTGCTGACTTATCATCTTGATCGTTGTTGTCACATCAACTGTTTACTTTCAACAAATTAAAATCAACTTGTCTATTTTTTTCCTTTTTCATGATCAGTCAATAACTTGATCGATAAGGTTCATCAAGTTAGCTGCACTGAATTGAACCTTTGGTTCGCTCCTTCTTTTTTAGACCAATACTAACATTACTTTTTTTATCTCTTTTACAGGCTGCGTTTCAATTCGTTGTTGATAATAATTTAAGAGCTAAAGTTACCTGTACTTATTTACAACGATTCCTATCCAAAAATCCTGAGCGTGAATTTCTTAAACATGTTGTATCTTAAATCGGAATTCAATGCTTCAGCCACATGTGAATGGAATGTACTTAATGCTCCTCTCTCTATCATCTCTCCAATCATCTATCAATCAACATGACAACTTCAAAACTGAGCCCAAATTTTTATGATAAAACATTTAGTTTATCATTTAAATGGATAATAAATTTTGGATCTGTTATATTGTAATTCAACCATGTAACCCTTAGCTCTGTATCTAAACTAGATTGGGAATTCCAAAGTATTTTCTATTCTACATTCAAACAACTCTCGCCACTTGATATGATGTTAATTTTCCAGTTTATTCTTGATTCTAACAAACATTTACATCAAAATTCATTCAAAGCCAAAGTTTTTTAGTTTACAGTCAACATTGAGAAACTGCTCATCACTGAAAATAGCTTATTTTCACTATTTGCCTAGCAAAATAATTCACCATTTTCAATCTTGTTTGATTTATAAATTTTAGTTAAATTAGAAAACTCATGAAATGAGTGATATTTTATGAAAGAAAATGTAATTTTGTTAGTTAATTAAGAAATTTCAATGAAAATTGATTAAAAATTAACCCCTCCTCAATAGGGACCATTAAATAAATTAACCGCAGTTTCTCAATGGTGACTGTATCTACATTTAATGCTGTATATGTAGCGCAAAACATACCTATTTTGAAATAAAGTTCAACTTATGTAAAATTAATCATGTGTCTCATGTTTTTTGAAATTTTCTCCAAGTTTGGAGCTTTGAATTTTCTGGAAATATTAATATAAATTATAAAACCCTGTTTATTGTCACCTAGAGTCATTGAATAACGTCTTTTTTAAATTTACATAACCGGGTTACAAAACCAATGGAAACCGAATCTCACGATCTTATCAACCAAATTGTCCACCACTCTGCGAATATGGTCAATAGGAGCTTTCCTATTATTAAAAGCTTATTTCCAAAAGTGATGAAAAAAGTTAAGGATTTCGTGGTGATATAAAATGATAAAAACTGAAGCATTTATAGCCAGAAAGATGAACCACAGTTCAGATGAGGATTTCAGCTAAAATATCAGAATTATTTGGTGTCTTTCATAATGCTAAGAGAGCCAATCGAACATTTCTACAAGATTTTTACTTTCCCTTTAGTGATTTGTGAATTTCAAGTTTTGCTTTACGACGATTGATTGACGATGGCAAAAAATCACAACTTAGGACCACGACCACGCTGATAGCACTAGAATATATCGTTATCGAATGATAACATCTACTTTACAACTAAACCATGCTGCTCATTGGTATTAACGGCCTTGATCTATGAAGTTGAAATCAACGAGTTCCAATTATTGTTGTATGCTAAAACAGATGAGCATAAATTGGATAAATTATAGATTAACCTTATTAAAAAACGTTTATAAACCCAGTAATACGAACCTTCGCAGCTCAATAAATCTAACGACGCGATTTTTTAGCAAATAAGAAGCATCAGCTATGGAATCATCAAATTGTACCTCAGTTGCTTTCTGCAGGTCTTCAACTTCTGCAATTAAAGTCATCAGCTGATAAAAATAGTCCAAAGCTTCACAAGTTGGCTCGATACATGCAACCAAATATCGTCTCAATAAATAAATATAAACATATTGTTCTGATCTGGTTAGGAAATGAAAGAATTGAAAAGCAAATTAATGGAAAAGTAATTTAAAGGATAGTAACAGCCTATCCAATACTAACTTGATTGTATTTCGATATTTCAACCCTGGCAAATCAGAATTGAAAATAATAATGAAAAAAATCAATGTGAGGACGTTGATGTCGCTTTTGAAACGATCTGGAAAAGTATCCATAACATGTACAGCTTTTCTATAGGAATCGGGGTGTTTCAAGTAAAGTTGTTTCCGTGGAAATATCCTGTCACAAAACTGAATAATTGATGAGTAAAAAAGATGTAAAATCATTAAAATATTATTTTTGCTGTCCATATCAATTCAAAGGAAGGATAGTAATCTGTAACTTACATACCAACCGTCGATTTGAGCATCATAGGCTATTAAATTTTTCAATGAATTTAGACTAAAAAAGGCATTTTTCAACAAATGAATTTTATCATTTAAATGTAATTTCCTAAATGCGCGAGACTTTTCAGCAGAACCTACAAGATCAACTGGACGTGGATCAGTGCATAAGTCATCTCTACGTGCTGCCAAATACACATCCGAGTTCTGTTTGAATATAATCTCTTGTAAAGCGTGAACTGCCTCGTATAAAGCAAATGACTCAAATCCATCCAGCATGGTTTGTGTGGACAAGAATTCCGATTTTATGTTCATCGGTGAAAAATGAACAGCCAATATCTTTTTCCCTACATTAGAGTTCCAAGTCTTTTTCACTCGGCAATCATTTTTATCCGTTGAGATACTGTTCTCGGAAATCCTGGTAACTTGGTTTCTTGATGAGTATTCAGTTGTTGATGACATTTCAATATCATTCACTGTATCTGAGTTGATATAACCAGTTGAAGGAAATGTTGTTGAGGTTGAAGATTGTGAGTCCGAAGTTGAGTTGTAATAAGAGTCAATTGCTTCAGTAAATATCTTGATTTGTCCATTCTCGAGCATTCTTTCTTTCTTGAGAGACATATTTTTGTGAAAATAATTTGTTAAATATAGTTAACTAATTGAATAGGAAATCAGGTGAAAAAAAACTCAGCATAAGCAATAGAAGCATGAAATATTGATAATAAAATAAAAAGGAAGAGCAGATTTGAGCAAATTGCAAGTGAATTGTTAGTCATTCAGTTAAGCACAAAGATTTAGCACTCAACAAATGACAAAAGTATCTAGACCATGCACCTAGGCAAGGTTGAAATCAATTCATCAGGAGAGACAATGCTAATCTTATCTTTTTGATTCCAGAAAACTGCGCTTTACTTGTAATTACAATTCAACATGAGCTAGTAATTTCTGTAGCTAAAACTTCTGTCATTGGCTTGATTGAACTGACAGATGAATGGTAATCACCTAACTACCATGCTTTAAATCAAATAAAAGCATGAAATAACGTAAATTGCCAAATTTGAGCTTTAACTATTTGTCTTTCATAATATCAGCTGGAATCATATTTTACCTCGTAATTTCAATTGGGAGGTTCCCTCTCTTCATCCCGATGTTTATTTTGACAAAGATTATTTGGAATTACAGTAAAGTACCCCATAACTTGGTAGAATTTTGTGTTGGCGCCACCTATTGGATTTAACCATTTAATTGGATTTTCTAATTGTTTTAACCAAAATTACTCAAATTTAAGTACAAAAGGTTGAATTAGCGTGTCAACTTTACTAGAATTATTACAAATTTCTTGTTAAACAAATCAGAATAAGTCAGAAACTCGATATTTTGATTATTCAATAGAATAGAACATTTTCGCATCTCTACAAAAGTGAAGAGCATCATTAAAAAAAAGACATTCTAGTTATTAGGAGAATAAGCTGATTAATACTGCAGGAAAAATTTTTTTATGTAAAGTCGACTCGCTAATTCAAGTTTTTTGGCTAAATTTTGAGTTATTTTGATTAAAACAATTAAATAATTGGATAAAAATGGTTCCGAAATTTTTAATCCAATAGGTGGCGCCAACACGAAATTCTACCAAGTTATGGGGTACTTTACTGTATCTAGAATTTATAAATGTCGAAAAACTATTTCAGAATAAGATTACTTCAATGATTACTTAATATTCATACAATGATACACTTCCATGGGAACAACGCAAATTTTTACTGTTAACAATCTGCTTCGGTGAATTCAAATTGTCTGAAATAAGTCAGTGAATAAATTTACTTCAAATTCAACTTGAAAACTAAATTGAAATATTGAATCATAACAGTCTACTTTCATCTAGATGTTGAGCTTGAGCTATGTTCGTTGCTTCAAGATTAATGAACAATAATGATTAAGAATTAAATAATGTATTTTAATGTTTAGCGTTTTATGTCAGTGTATCCAATGAAACATTCATGGCCAGAAAAATCAATTCAACTGAGAATACCAATTAATATCAAAAAATCCACGTAACATGAGAATGTGTCTTTAATAATGGCACTTTGTCTTGATTGTGAGTTTCATGATTTGTTTCATTGATTATGCCAAATTAACAATTTTGGTTTACAATCATTTAAAATCAAAATCCTCGAATTTGTACATCATAATGTTGCTTGAAAGATACCAGGGCAAACCATCGAAAATCATACGATAGACCAAGAAATTTTCTTATTTGAACTTGTGAATCTTAAAACAGGTGCATTTCCCAGTGTTTATTCAGATGAACTGTCATTGGCAGGCGTTTTTTTTGTTTATGGGTTATAACACAGAGAGTGATCCTTGCCAATTGCACTTTGCTTGATAGCTCTCCATTGATTTTTAGTCTATTTCACAAATCATGGACCTTAGACCACAAAACCACTTAAATCATGATAGTAATCCTTGGATTCATAGCTTTGGAATCAACGAGCTCCAATTATTGTTGAACGCTGAAATAGATGAATAAAATTGGCTCAATTTACGATTTGTACATAAACCTTGTTAATACAAACCTTCCAAGCTCAATATATCTAACGACGCGATTCTGTAGCAAATAAGAACCGTTGGCTCGAGCGGAATCAAAGTCGGTTTCAGTAGCTACCTTCAGTTCTTGAATTTCTTCAATCATATCCATCAGCTGATAAAAATAGTCCAAAGCTTCACAAGTTGGCTCGATACATGAAACCAAATATCGTCTCAATAAATAAATATAAACGTATTGTTCTGATCTGGTTGGAAATAAATAATTGAAAAGAAAATTATTGGTAAAGTAATTAAAAGTGAAGTCAGTCTATTGAATACTAACTTGATTGTATTTCGGTACATCAAATCGGGTAAATCAGCGTTAAAAATGATGATTAAAAAAAGTAACGCACAGACATTAATATCAGTTTTAAATCGAACTGGGAAAGTATCCATAATATTGAAAGCTTTTTTACGCAGATCTGGATTTTTCAAAAAGAGTCTTTGCCGTGTGTAAATATTACCGCAAAACTGTACAATTTCAGAATAAAAATGAAAATTAAATTTAGATTTGTGATGGCAAATGTTTGTAACTTTAAACTTACAAGCCAACCGTCGAGTTTTGGATTAAAAGTTATCACATTTTTCATTACATTGAGATCCAAGAAGGCATTTTTCAATAATTCAATTTTATCCTCCAAATGTAATTTCCTAAATGCACGAGACTTTTCACAAGCACGCACAAGATCGACAGGACGTGGATCAGCGCATAGATCAGCTTGGTGTGCTTTCAAAATTTCCTCGGAGTGTTCGTGAATTATAATCCCTTGAATAGCATTAGCTGCCTCTTGTAAAGCAAATGCTTCAAATCCATCCAACATGGTTTGTGTGGACAAGAATTCCGATTTTATGTTCATAGGTGAAAAATGAACAGCCAATATCTTTTTCCCTACATTAGAGTTCCAAGTCTTTTTCACTTGGCAATTATCCGCTGAGACACTGTTCTCGGAGATCCTGGCAACTTGATTTGTGATTCTCGATGATTTGAAATATTCACTAGTCGGTGACATTTCAATATCATTGACTGCATTTGAGTTGATATAACCAGTTGAAGGAGATGTTGTAGATGATAGAGATGGTGATACTGAGTCCGAAGTTGAGTTGTAATAAGAGTCAATCGCTTGAGTAAATATCTTGATTTGTCCATTTTCGAGCATTCTTTCTTTCTTGAGAGAAATACTTTCATTTCCATTTTTCTGTTTATTTATAGGTGTTTGGTCTTTGTCAGAGTCAAAAACGGATTCAACAATGGTTGGTGAAAGAACTGGTAATAGTGTCGATGTATCCACGCCTATGAATTCCTCGTCTGAAAATAGACCATCATTGTAGATCACTGGGTGAATATGTTGAGAAAATTCACTGTGAAAGTCCATCATTGAACAGCAAAAGTGATGTTGAACACAGAATAAAAACTGGATTAGTAATCATTCAAACAATAGAAGCAAATAATAATGAAAAAGGAAGATTATTAATAGTTATTATAAAACGAGATAATTGTTAGTAAATGAAATAAAATTAAACAAAAATGAAGCATGAACTGAATATCGATAATAAACTTCAAATAAATAGTCTATCAAGACAAGGATGTATAATGTTATCGCAAGCCTACCAAATGATAAAAGTAACTGAAATCTGTTGTGTGTGGGAAAAGTTGCAACAATTCATCCATCGAGAGAAACAATGGCATCCTTATCTTTATTACACCTTACAGAAAATACCCTGCGATTGTCACAGTTATACATATGATGGCTAAAGTTTATTTCAGTCTTATCATTTCTACATTGAATTGATTATGTTCATGATCATATTCTTCTTGGTCTTATTCCAACAAAAAAATCATCAAATGAACCAACGTTACAATTGTCAAATTAACGCTTAAAAACAAAGCTATGAAATTACACCTATGAAATCTATACTAAAAACTATTCAATTAACTATAATAATCAAATAATTTATTGAAACTATGATTGATAAAAGCATGCAATTTGATTTGGAAACTTACATTTTGATGAATTTTGTATTTAATATTTTAATTTCGTAATTAGGCGCCACCACCTCTTACACAGTTGATTGTTTCAAACAGTAACGCTATCTGTTGGCTTCTATCTTCCATTATAAACTGTTGTTTTTTGTTTTCCCTGAAACAATTAAAGGCATCCCTTGCAAGTATTATGGCCGCTCACAAGGAACGAAAGTAATTTTTGGACATACTAACAAGGTAAGAAACAAGAAAGAAAAGATAAAAGAAAAGAAAATTTATTCAGAAAATATATAAAGATAAAAACACGCAGTAAAATAAGAAAAAAATAAAATATTGGAACGAAGTTTTAATAAGAGTCAATTGCTTGAGTAAATACCTTGATTGATCCATTCTCGAGCATTCTGTCTTTCTTGAGAAACAAGATTTCTATTATATGCAGGCTTTTATTGGCGACCTATCGATATGAGATAAATCCTTAAGGTTCATTATTGAACGGCAAAAATGAACTGTAAATTTACAATCGCATTCAATAATAGAAGTAAGCAAGAATGGAATGACCACTGCGAGATTGTAAAAATGAATAATTTATACAGATGCTTTTAATTGGTTGAATTGAAAACAATGTGAAAAAGAAACAATAGGATAAGCAGACGATAGACCATAGCCCACGAAACCAACTCCAATTATTGTTGAACGCTGAAATAGATGAAACAAAATCGGTTCAATTTACGATTTGTACATAAACCTTGGTTATACAAACCTTCCAAGCTCAATAAATCTAACGACACGATTCTTTAGCAAATAAGAACCGTTGGTTCGAGAGGTATCAAACTCTTGTTCAGTAGCTATCTTCAGTTGGCGAATTTCCTCAATCGTTGTCATTAGTTGATAAAAATAGTCCAAAGCTTCACAAATCGGTTCAATACATGAAACCAAATATCGTCTCAATAAATAAATGTAAACGTATTGCTCTGATCTGGTTAGGAAATAAATAATTGAAAAGAAAATTAATGGAAAAGTAATTTAAAATTTTTTCGGATGGTAACGTCAGTCTATTGAATACTAACTTGATTGTGTATCGGTACTTCAATTCTGGTAAATCAGGGTTAAAAATAATGATTAAAAAAAGCAATGCACAGACATTGATATCGGTCCTAAAACGATTTGGAAAAGTATCCATCAAATCAAAAGCTTTTTTACGCAAATACAGATTTTTCGTAAAGAGTTTTTCCCGATTGTATATAACACCACAAAACTGAACGATTTCAAAATAAAAAATTAAGTAAAAGATGAAATTGGAGTTAAATTCATGATTGAATATGTTTGTAACTTCAACTTACATTCAAACCGTCGATTTCTGGATCAAAATTTATTATATTTTTCATTGCATTAAGATCGAAGAAGGCATTTTTCAATAATTCAATTTTATCCTCCAAATGTAATTTCCTAAATGCACGAGACTTTTGACAGGCACTTACAAGATCGACTGGCCGTGGATCAGCGCATAAATCAGATAAGTGTGCTTGATAAACTTCATCGGAGTGCTCGGTAAATACAATTCCTCGAATAGCATGAGCTGCCTCTTGTAAAGCAAATGCTTCAAATCCGTCCAACATAGTTTGTGTAGACAAGAATTCAGATTTTATGTTCATCGGTGAAAAATAAACAGCCAATATCTTTTTCGCTACATTAGAGTTCCAGGTCTTTTTCACTTGACAATTATTTTTATCAGCTGAGACACTATTCTCGGAGATCCTGGCAACTTGATTTCTTGATGAGCTAAAGTATTCAGTTGTTGATGACATTTCAATATCATTCACTACATTTGAGTTAATATATCCAGTTGAGGCTAAAGATGGTGATACTGTGTCCGAAGTTGAGTTGAAATAAGAGTCAATTGCTCGAGTAAATATCTTGATTTGTCCATTCTCGAGCATTCTTTCTTTCTTATGTGAAATACTTTCATTCCCATTCTGTTGTTTATTTATAGGTGTTTGGTCTTTTTCAGAGTCAAAAACGGATTCAACAATGGTTGGTGAAAGAACTGGTAATAGTGTCGATGTGTCCACGCCTATCAATTCCTCGTCTGAAAACGAACCATTATCGTAAATCTCCGAGTGAATAAGTTGAGAAAATCCACTGTGAAAGTCCATCATTGAACAGCAAAAGTGTTGTTGAACACAGAAGAAAAACTGAATTAGTAACCATGCAAACAACTGGGGCAAATAAGATTATCAATCTTAAAGGAAAAATTATCAATAATTGTTAGTAAATTAAATAAAAATGAAGTATAAAACTGAATTAATAATAAATTTCAAATAATAGTCTATCACGAACAAGGGTTTACAATATTATCTCAAGCCTACCAAATGATAAAAAACACTAAAATCTGTGACTTTGTTGCGATTTAAGTTGTAACAGTTAATCCATCGAGAAAAACAAGTTTCTTAGTTTTATTACACCTGACAGAAAATACCTTTGATTATCCCAGTGAAATAGATCATGGCTTTTATTTCAGTCTTATCATTTAGAGTAAACTCATTTCAGTCAATGGTTTGATCGTAAAGATTATTTCTTCTTGATCTTGTTCTAAATCCAACAAAAACATCATCAAATGAAGCACGTTACAATGTATCGTTACATAATTTCAATTTCAATTACATGCAAGTTTTCCACAAGTGAACACTGATAAACAGCTGTGAAATTGTATCCATGTAATCTATACTAAAAACTATTCAAATAACAATAATTTATTGAAACTATGATTGATAAAAGCATTAAACATTTGGAAACTTACATTTTGATATTTAATATTTCGTAATAAGGCGCCACCACATTTTTCACAGTTGTTTTCAAACTGTGGCGCTATCTGTTGGCTTTCATCTTCCATTATACACAATATTTATTTTTTTGAAATTTTTTTAAATGTACTCTGTTATGAGGAGGAGCAAGTCACAATTAAAAATATGGTTTTAATGGTCGACACAGTTTAATTGTGTTTACATCTATTGTTTATTTTTATGTTCGAGATGTGGCCCAAACTGGTTGATTACTCTAAAGAAGAGTGTAAACAAATGTTAAGACGACTTGGTAAGTATTTAGATTGAATAATTTCAAAAATGTATCAAAAAGAAACAAAAAAATTCCCTTACTAGCTTTCCTTTTTAGTTTTTTTTCATCTTTTTGATTAAACAATTTATATTTACTACAACCTATCATAGATAAATTGTTGTTACATATTTTTTTAATTTTTATATCATTATCTAACACTTGTTTCCTCTTCCATCTTTCTTTACAGAACTTGAAGCATATTCTTCGGTCGTCAATGCACTCCGAGCACAAGGCGATTTAAATCAGGCAAAGGCTAAAATCTTACATGATCTTTCAAATATGTTAAGGTTTGTATCAGTTTTAATGTTTTTCTAATAACATTGAAACTCCATAAACTGCTATACCTAAGAATGTTATTCATTTTTTGTATGTATGTGACATGCTAACATCTTTATATTGTTTTTATTATTCTTTCTCGATTAACAAACTCCTTTATTTCATTTTCTTTTTCTTTAGTATAACCTTGGAACGTCACCAAGCAGAGATTCGTAGAGCAGTTAATGATGAAAGATTGTCAACAATTGCTTATCACGTGAGTGGTGAAGAATCTTCACATGAATGGACAGTTGCTGGTAGACGGTTAATACCTTTGTTACCTCGTTTAATACCTCAAAATCAATTAACTGAGATCGCGACTCAATCTGCTGTGAATCAAGCTACAAAAAACGAATCTCTTTCCTCTCCTTCTATGACTGCTTTCAAAAATGTTGTTAAAAAGGAAAAATTAGATAGCCATTCTAACGACATTTCCTTGTCACCTACTGTATCAACATCTACTATATCTGTTACAGTGTCATCACCATCATCATCACAGTTTACATCTACATCAGTTTCACCTTCCGGGACAACAACTTCATCCACAACCCCCACTAAAAGACTGAAACTTGACAATGGATCATCCATCACCGATTCATCATTAATTTCACCTAAAATCAAACAAAGCATCCCAACTTCCCCTAAGTCTTCTATAAAATCTGTTTCTGTTATCTCAACCACGCGAACTAGTATACAACTTCCTCCTACTTATACAATCTCCTCCACTGGTCCTAGAGTAGTTTTCATGTCTTCTAATGGTACTGCTGCTAGAACCTTAACTGTTAATGATGTCAACTCATCTGCCACGCTTCTGACAGCATCTTCCAACGGCGGCTCCGCTAGTACTATCACTAAAGCCAGAGTTGTAGCTCAAGGGTCTGCGTTAGAACCTGGAACCATTTTCAGTACAGCTAAACGCATAATTAGAACAACAGCTAAACCATTTGTAACTGGTAACAGTGCTCAAAGCGGTATGGCATCAGCAGTTACCTTAGCACCTGGAACACGGATTATACCAGCTAAAAGTGCTTTTCCTCAGCAAGTTGTAGTTTTTCCTTCTAATGGTGGACCACAAAAAACAATAACCATACCTCTTTCACAGACAATCAAACAACTTCAAGTTCCCAACGTGCCTGGAAGTGGAAATGCAGCAGTTGTGTACCAAGCTGCTTCCAACTCCAGCACACCATCGTCCGGCGCGTTAAAAACTACTATTCCTGGTACAATAACTATACAAACATTCAAACCCTCTCCTGCATTAATTGCAATTAGCCAGTGATTGTTAAATAGTCTAAGACTAAGTGTTAGACTTCATAATTTAATTTTTAAAATCTATAGAATTAGAAAGAAATGTTTGACAAGACTGGAAAGGTAAGAAATCTTGCAATTGTGAAATTTAATATTGAAATCGGCAAAATACTCATTATAATTATTTCTGTATTTTTCAACCAGATCCAACATTGTCTCAACTCAATCATCAGATGATTTTTATTTAAATCTGGTTTGCTCAATATGGAACTTTTTCTGTATTTCCATGGAACTCCTTGTTAATTTTTTTCCTCAAAGCATTTAATCTAGCAATAATATAAGGCTACAAATCAACTTGAAGGTGAAGTTTAACTTCACAACTAGCCTCAACAAATCATGAAGAGCAATTAACGTGCCAAATGTGATTATTGTTCCAAAATATGGTCAACCTGAATCTCAAATACAATCCAGTGCTTCGACAACTCAACTCACAATCAAATGAAGCGACTAGATGCCAAATTTGAGTCATGATGAAGCTTCATGGCTTACTCTTTTTTTCAAGTTATTGCGTTTAAAAACTATTTGCTGCGACTTTTTCGTATTGTTATAGTCAAATCCACTGCATGCTCATTCATTTATTAAAGTTTGTAAAGATGTGAATAATCGCTAAACTAAATTTGGAACCCTTTACTCAGCATTTACCAGCTTTTAATGATCCATATCAAGCATCGTAATCAAATCTTCTCCGTGGCCAGTCATTCATTATTCTTTCTACTTTGTTAATTTACTGATATGCTACTGAACTGTTCCACCCTTAAAGCGTTTTCACTATCCTTTCGAAACTTTTCTGCACTTTAAGTTTTGAATGAATTTATAAAGATTAATTTATATTTCAGCGAAACTTTAAAAGGTAAATATACATCAACCAATTAATCAATTATTATCTAATACCTGTTTCATCTAACATTTTACAGATTTTTTTGTTCATCGATCATCCATTAGAGGTTGTATAAACATCTACCATACTGTCATTGTTATCAAATAACTCACCAAATCAATGGTAAATGATGTAAAAGACGTTAAGATAATTTATCGAATTGGATGTATATTAAAATAAACGATATAATTAAACGAAAAATTACAAGAATGCTGATTCATCGAGATAACGGAACGCTTTGAAGTGGCCTATCTTCTTTTTTTCTGAATCATAGTTAAATGACATGAAACACTGATTACAGAAAAAATAAGGTTCATAAGGTAGCCTTTTGTTTTCTAAAACTATCCATTTAGCCACATTTATGTGACACATGAGACATTTACAAGCATTTCGATTGACAGTTTTAAAAACTTTTGGATAATCTCTAAGAAATGGGCTGTCAGTTTGAGGGCAAAATAATCGCATCTCAGGGAAAACTATCATATGTTCACAGTCTCCTTGATGTACATATACGTAGGGTTGACCTAGCCTTATAGAAAGATCATTGAAGCGTGTTTCCTCCATTTTAGCGGTTCTCAAAGTACCAATTCCTCTCTCTTTGTTTTTGGCCCAATCCATAATGACTCTGGAAAATAAGTAATAAAGGAATGGAAATAAAGTTAAAAACTCGAAAGTCAATTGTTGGCTTTTAAACAAAATTAAAACTCACTGGCTGCAATCAATGTTATTTGCTGATCTAAAATCATTGTAAAAACAATCATCGATGAAGAAAAAGCTTGAAGTATATAACTCTCGTGCACTAGGTCTTTCCTTTTCTGGATCATCACTACAATCTTCTGCAGGGTTGACTTCCACAGAACAAATAATTTCATCTTTAAGTGCGGTTAAAAGTTGCCTTCCAAGGCACAAAAACTCTTGCTCAGCGATCAGGTTAACATGTTTCCTATGTTCCCCAACATGCAAGGAATGATGCATTGGTCGAAATACTTGAACATTTAAAATGACATCTAGACCTTCGATTTTGGGTTCATCACTAGAATTTTTGCTGGCATCTGGAAAGTGGATAAAATGGTCAGTAACATTGATTCATTGATATTGAAAAAGTTAGTATTAAGTTACTAATTAGAACAGCTTAAAAGTATAGAAATAATGACCAAAAAATTAAGATTAATAAATCTAACCTAAAATACTTACCTTGATTATTTAAGAAAGTATAATTTCGATACTTTAAGGATTGATTAGCAATGCGGCGATATTTGTCGTTTTGTTCACATTTTTCAATATGACTCACTTGTGCAGCAACACTGCGTAAAGCAATGTGGTTAGGTAAAGAAAGCTTATTTCCATACAAATAATCCTTCCATTCTTTATCTCGATTTAATTTTTCGGGATCTAAATCTTCTTTAATATCTTCAATCGTCTCCTCATTGATATTGCAAATCTCCATGGCTTTACGGTCTAAAGATTCTTCATTGAGTTCAAGTTCAAGACTTAAATCTTGTGATTCCCAGAGAGACAGAAACTGTCGCACGTTGATTTTCTCGCATTGATCAACCCATGGATATTTGTCGATTCCCTTAACGAAATCCATAACAAATTAAAATAAAGATGATAACAAAACAAATGTAAACAACTTTCGAAACTAAAGGAGCTTTGGTTACTAGAACTGGTTACCTGGTAAGATGACAACATATCACATAATAAGACATTTCTGAATATATCGATGGATGGCGCTGAAAATAAGATCTAAAATTTTTTATTTTTAAATTTGGCGGCAGCACAAAGTAACTGAAGTTACTGGTTTTACTGATTAAACAGTGATTGATTGAGTGATTAAGCTTATTGAACAGACTGACGAAAAGTTGGGATGAAAACCAAATTACAATCAATTTGTCCGAGAGCTGGTCTTCAGCTGTTCTTTTCATTGTAGAGACAGGCAGTGAACACAATATTTTTAAAATTTATTCAAAGATGATTTGCTTGATTCAATCAAGTTGATTATGTTGTTTGCTTGATGGAGCTTCCATGTATTATATATTAATCAAACTCTAGAGAGTATAAAGTGATAAAAATCAAGCTCATAGTAGATTACATGATCCCGAATATAAATGGAATCAGATTGTATGGATAGAAATGATTTGGTGAAAATTTGTTTACTTGAGAAACAAAAATTTTTATAAATTTTCATAATGCACTTGTAATATTTATTAAATAACTAATCAATATTGTAACAATAAATAAAAATCAATATGTTTGTTGTTTTGTATAACGAAAAATTAGAAAGCTTTGATACTAAGTTTCATTGAATTTGATTGTACTCATGAAAGATGAGGTGGAAATTCAGAGACAATTGTGTTTCGTCGAGAGTCTCTCACAATAATATCAGGATCGTAGATTGTTTGAGTCACCTCATCACCATTCAAATCATCTTCAATGGCTTGTTCAACAGATTTAAAGCTTGGATCCCACTTTTGAAGTTTAGATGAACCCAATAAAGCAAAGTAATGTGTACCAAATATGCTAAGACCGGCAGTGATCAGGAAAAAGTTTGACCATGATTCGAGTGTTGGTTCATCACCGACAATCATGGCTGCAGCTTGATTCATTGCTACAGAAGCAATGTTTTGTGATGTCTCCATGATACCTACAATCGAACCAGCATAAGTCGGGGAAATGTCCAAATGCATAACATAACAACCAGCTACTTGAGCAACACTGAAAGCTTTGCAGGCAACAATAAACGTTACAATCAACGCAGTCCGTTTACCAACATAAGTGGCAGCAACCAAACACATCGCTGAACCAATAAATCCTAATGATGAACAAAATAAAATAAATTTTAATTCAATTCTGTTTAATTCAATTAAAGTTCTCATACTTCTAATTGAATATAACTTCACAGTTACAATATTTTGTAAGAACTTCAAACTTGACATGTAATTAGCATTGACTCATTTTGACCTGATTTTTTAATTGGAATGATTGTTATTAGTTCAACGCAAATCTAGATGCGAACAAATTTGATTAATTTGAATTATTTCATTAGCTTCATCAATAGATGCGATACTAATGAGGTGAATGGCAATGTAAAGACGTTTCTTTTAATTTAATATTTAATACAATGTCTTATTATCATTATGATCATCTTATTAAATGTAAAAATTCATCTCTTTACTCTATATTGTCAACTGAATAAACTGAATAAATCTTGAGTCCATGAATGTCATTACAATTACAATTGTCAATTGTGATTTTCGTGTAAATTGGTTGATACTCTGAAATTTGCTACAATATTACTTTTTTTGATATTAATGTTGACATTATCCAAGTGTAACCTAAATCGTAAATCTAAATACGAGCAAAGTTTATTTTTTATCAATTCAAAGTCTTCTTAATTCTTGCTATCGAACTGATAATATGAAGCAAAGAAGCTGAGACTGATTGCAATAATTAAGACTCGACTTGATCAAGGGAAAACATTACATAATTGATTAAAGATGAAAAGAACCGATTAATCTCAATTGAGGATAAATGTAAACATGTAAGACTAGACTCACAAATCAGACCTGAAAGGGTAAACAAACTTTCAACAGTTCTAGCAACTCTCATTAAGATCAATATTTTAATTTCCGACTAACTATTAGATTATCAAAGTTAATACTAACCGATATCTGCGAAAAATTTACGCATAGCTGAGGTCGAGTATTTGCCATTGGATCGTAGTTTATCTGAAATCCAACTAATTATGTTGGATGAAAATATTGACGCCAAGTATGGTAATGCAGCGAATAACCCATTCTATCGAAAAATAAGTGATCGTTAATAAACATCAATTAGAGACCAATATGGTAATTACCTGTTCTATTGGTAAATCAAGAACTGAATCCAGAAAACTTGGGACTTGACCACTTATGATTGATTCGAGCCAACCCCAGGCAAAGTTGGATATAATTAGAGCCCAGATAGGGGCTGATGATAAAACATGTCGCCATGGCATTGAAATATTCTGAAAAAGGAATGAGAAAAAATCGAGTTCAAATTATCTGGAAAAAAAGTCATCCAACGTAAACAAAGGGTAACAAATATTTACCCTGAAAGTGCTTGGCTGCTTTATACACAATTAGCTTACACACACTTTGATTCAATTTGATCTTTATTCATCATTTTGGTAAGATAAGTTATGACTAATTAACTTGATTAAATCAGTAATAAGCGATGGGATAAGCGAAAGTCTATAAACCGGTTGAATCAACTTGATAGATTAAATATGTTTGCATGAGATAGATAAGCAAATCTGATATTTCAATGCTAATCCGCCACGTTGGGCCTTTGAATCAAAACATTAATCATGTTGCTCATTTAAAAAGATAAAACTTCAACAGACTGAAAACTATCAACTAAAATCGTCATTGTATAATGAATTGAAAAAATTAACATAGAGTCGTGAGTTATCTCAAACGATTCTGAAATCGCAGCAATTGGCTTTAAATCACGCGACTATCACAGTCTTTGAAGCTATTTTGCTATTGAACTTAATAGTGTTGAACTTCAATTGTTAATCACTAAATTTTGCTGATGAATCTGTCTAATTTATCTGAACATATGAAATGGTTGATATCGCTATGAACATGAAATGTTCGATCATCTGACCAGAAGTCATTTTCTCAGAGTTTACCTAAAGTAATATGCACAACTTATAAGACGTTTTTATGCAAAATATCAAGACATCAAAAGCTTGATTTGTATCCTCTTAATGAGAGGCTATCATGGTGAGTTAACTGAGTATTTACTTACTGAGTCTCCAGCATTTGTCAATCGATTTTCAAGAATTTCTTGTTTTTCTTCGTCAGATATGCGTGGATGAGATTCAGGATCATCATAGACCGTAAAAAGCCAAATAACGGCAATAATCAATTGCAAAGTACCAATGAGATAAAATACAGAAGGCCAACCACCAAGAAAAGTGGAACCAGAAAGTGCACCCACCAGTGGACTAGTAGTCAAAGCACCCAATAATCCACCCGAATTCATGATCGAAGCAAACAAAGTCTTTTCATATTTAGGTGCCCAACGTGAGACCAAAACATGAGCACAAGGCATACTACAACCTGTACAAAAACCTTGTACCAATCTGAGTATAAAAGCAACAGGGAATGACCACTTGCAAGCAGCAGGAAACACTAACATGGAAACACCAGCCAGAGTAGCCAAGAAAAAGGCCAACCTTCGAGGTCCAAACTTTTCACTGATACGTCCAGCTGGAATGGGTGACAAGACAGCTCCAAGAAAGTTGGCCGTCAATAGTTTATCATTTGTTGATTGAGTCCAGTTAATGTAGTTTTTATTCCGCTGTTCAACTATAATGACTTTTGTTTCATTAGTCTTTTCATCTGTCACTGTTAAATTAATTGCTGATGGTATTAACGCAGCTTCTTCTGGTGTTAGTTCGTCATAATCAGGGTCAGTCATTGCGACGATAGCCAAGCTTAAGCATACTTTCGTTGCTACAAGGCTGAAGATCATCATCAGGGTGATGATACAGATCATCCATCGTACTTTTATACAACCTGCTTTAGTCCCATTGCTTGGTTTACGATCCATACCTCGAATCAAAGACAAATTGTTAGACAAATCTAGTTCGAATCAAACCGTTAATTTATTCACTTCTCTATTATAATTACTCGCGCTAATCTTGAATAGCTACTGTATTCACAAACTATCTTCCAGTTGATTTAAATAAAGTGCTTATCGAATTTCAATGTTACACTTTTCTCGACTCTCTCATCATTCCACTGATTATTTTTAATCCAAGACTATGAGTTGGATTAATATTGATAATCACCTTGAGCACAAATCCAAGTAAATCGAAGTATGATGGCTTAATGTAGATCAGATAATATCTTGCATTTAATTATTCATTCTAGTTTTAAGGTTAACTCAGCTTATTAACTATGTAACTATGTACTAACCATTAAACTCGGTAAATTGTAAGCTGTTTTACATCATAATGATAAAAATCCTTGCTGTCCTAGTACGCACGATTCACCAGCTAAAACGTCATTAGATTTGTGAAACAGCGTGCATTATCTGATTGAATAAGGTTAAGAAAAGGTACCACTCGTTGATACCTAACCTAACATTCAGAAACCTTTCAGTCTCATCGAAACATTCATCTAATTGCTCTCATTCCGTTACTTTTATTCAAACTAAGAAGTCTTGTATTCAATTACAATTTGAATGCAGCAAGTACAAATTATGCCATTTAACAGTTTTTGAGATTAATGAAAAGTACATCACATATATTATGAAACAAAGGTTATTTATGATTAGTTTTTTATAATTTTCATAATTCATCATGAATTTACTTATTGAACCAATATTCCTTGCTTGAAATTACCGATGGAGTTAAAATACTAGCAAAGCTTTACTTGTACAGCGTAAAAATTAATTTTAGGTTAGCTTCAACCGGCGAAACTTTAAACTATTAATTTGAATATAATGTCTCGATAATAATATAATGTTTTGTTTTATTTGTTTGCCTGTGGAACAACTATGAAGAAGTTGAAGTTGATTAAAATCACCATTTATTAATTTTTACGCTGTAGATCTCATGTGACTAGGTTTTTGATTTAATTTGATGGTGTTTATGAAAGATTGGGAGGAAATTCAGAGACAATTGTGTTTCGTCGAGAGTCTCTCACAATAATATCAGGATCGTAGATTGTTTGAGTCACTTCATCACCATTCAAATCATCTTCAATGGCTTGTTCAACAGATTTAAAGCTTGGATCCCACTTTTGAAGTTTAGATGAACCCAATAAAGCAAAGTAATGTGTACCAAATATACTGAGACCAGCAGAGATTAAGAAGAAGTTTGACCAGGATTCGAGTGTTGGTTCATCACCGACAATCACGGCTGCAGCTTGATTCATCACAACAGAGGCAATGTTTTGTGATGTCTCCATAATACCGACAATTGAACCAGCATAAGTCGGGGAAATGTCCAAATGCATAACATAACAACCAGCTACTTGGGCAACAGCGAAAGCTCTACAGGCAACAACAAAGGCCACAATCAATCCAGTCCGTTTACCAACATAAGTAGTACACACCAAACAGACTGCTGACCCAATAAATCCTAATGAATCAAACAAGATGCAATGAGTTAGATCAAGACAATATCTTAAATGACTTAATGATGAAAAACGCAACATCTATGAAGATGCAAATTAATATTGTATAAGCACCATCGAGGATGCGAATAAGACTAAATCGTGAGAGTAAAATCACTTTTTAACAGTTGAAGCCTGAGATTGGGCGATGCTTCAATCACCAGCTAACTATTAGACTATTATCTCGATACTAACCGAAATCTGCGAAAAATTTACGCAACGCTGTAGTCGAGAATTTTCCATTGGATCGCAATTTATCTGAAACCCAACTGATTAAATTGGATGAAAAAAGAGCGGCCAAGTATGGTAACGCAGTGAAAAGCCCATTCTATGAGAAAAATGAGGAATTTATTAATACAAATGCAATATAAATTATAATTATATCATAATTACCTGTTCTATTGGCAAGTCAAGAACTGAATCCAGAAAACTTGGGATTTGGCCTCCTATTATTGTCTCAGTCCAACTCAAGGCAAAGTTAGATATAATCAGAGCCCAAATCGGAGCTGACGCTAAAACATGTCTCCATGGAAGCGAAATGTTCTGAAAAAGAAGATGACTTTACATACGCTTATGATTCATTATGTTTTTTAGTGCTTATTATCAGTTGGTAATTACCAAAGTGCAGTCAATTTGAAACAATAACTACATAATTGTGTAAGCAAAAAATAATTCAAACAAACTGAAATCTATCTTGTTGGCATTTCAAATTGTTCCGTCCAGGATTTCACCGACAAGTTTAGATTTATAAAATTAATATGAATAAAATTTGGTCAGTTAAACTACTCAGACTAGATAATTCAATTGGCAGACTAAAATGCAAATACATGAAACGACCTTTAAATCACAGATCGAAGCTATTATAAACCTTGCTTTAGCTGCTTAATTCTGATGGTGTTTCACTTTTTTACATTGAAATAAGGGAAATAGTAAACTTAAAATAATTTACTTACAGAATCTCCACTATTTGTCAGTCTATTTTCAAGAATTAGTTCCCTTTCTTCATCAGATATGCGTGGATGAGTTTCAGGATCATCATAGACCGTTAAAAGCCAAATCATACTGATAACGAGTTGAAAAGTGCCTATGATATAAAACACAGATTGCCAACCACCGAAGAAAGACGAAGCAGAAAGAGCACCAACCAAAGGATTAGTACATAAAGCAGCCAATAGTCCACCCGAATTCATGATTGAAGCAAACAAAGTCTTTTCATACTTAGGTGACCAACGCGAGACCAAAACATGAGCACAAGGCATAGTACAACCAGTACAAAAACCTTGTATAATCCTGAGTATAAAAGCAGCCTGAAAAGACCACTTGCAAGCAGCAGGAAACACTAACATGGAAACACCAGCAATTGTCGCTAAGACGAATGCTAACCTTCGAGGTCCAAACTTTTCACTAATACGTCCAGCTGGAATGGGTGACAAGACAGCTCCAAGAAAGTTGGCCGTCAATAGTTTATCATTTGTTGATTGAGTCCAGTTGATGAAGTTTCTATTACGTTGTTCAAATTGAACAAGTCTTGTTGTATTACTGCCTTCATCTTGCAACTCAAAAGTCAATACGTAGGAAGAGTTAGGTAGTGCAGCAGCTTCCTCCGGTGTTAGTTGATCATAATCAGGGTCAGTCATTGCGACAATAGCCAAGTTTAAACACACTTTTGTGGCTACAAGGCTAAAGATCATCATCAGGGTAATGATACAAATCATCCATCGTACTTTGATACAACCTGCTTTAGTCCCATTACTCTGTTTACGACCCATGGCTGGAATGAGGAACAAATTGTTAACACAAAACTAGATTATTGATTTAACACTTCTCTATTAAATTAAGCTTGTTTAGCTACTGTATCTGAAAAGTGTCTTCACTTGTTTTTAATAAAGTTTGATCAATTTTCAATGTTACACTTTTACCGACTCTCTCAACAATTTACTGATAACTTTAATCCATTCGTATATAGAGAGGATTAATATTGGGAATCTCAGAATAAAAATAACTCAATATTGATCTCAATAGATCTAGATAACTCTACCACACTCAATTGTTCAGTTAAGGACAAGCCATTTGTTGCACAAACAGTCGAGGGGATTTCACCAATGTTTCATAGAGTAGTGGAAGCGTACTCTAACTGTACGAAATGGCACCATAAGGAAGTACCCAATATAGTGCAATTTTTGTCTTTTATTTTCCGGTTTCTTTCATTTCAACCCATTAAACAGATTTGGGTACTTGTCTTGTTTTTAACACCATTTTAAAACCATTACCATTATGTAAACGTCCAGACCACAAACTTAATCTTAAGGTAAGATTTAGAGTAATCTTTATGATCTGGTCAGGATATGCAAGCAAGTTATTGGATTCATTGTTATCCTGGTTAGGTAAACCCATTGATAAATCCCCTTAAATAATACTGCACAAGCCTTTATAAATCAAGACAGATAACCTAATAGCTTTAAATTTAGTTAACATCAGATCATTTATCGATTAGATTGAAATACAATTTGAAATGTTAGCTAATAATGTTGATATAAATCAAGAACAAATTAAGAATGTTCAATATAAAAATAGCATCATGATTGTGATCGGATTAACTCCATCATGTGAATTCAACATTTAATCCACCAAACCCAATAACAAACTCAACAACAACGTTAAAGGTTTCTTCACTAATTGTTTAATTGTGCAGCATTTCTTACAAATGAATGTTTTTTTCCTGAACTTTATTTTGATTTATTCAATTTCATTACCTTGCTCCGTAATTATACAAATAATTGTAATCAACAAGTAAACTTATATCAGTCAACACTTGGCATTTCATTTTTGAGATGAAGAAATGTTGTAAAGTTGAAAAAAGAGTTTCAAATCGAAAATGGTTTTTCAGTTCAATTATTTCAATCTAATGAGGATTTGCATTTTACATGAAAATTCAGAATATTTTCTGTTTCATGAAGCCTAAATAATAAAGTACGAGTTGAAATATGAAGATAATGATGTGAGGAGAGTGAGGAAAATGATGAGGATGGAGAGATGATTATTACAGTTTCTTATATTTACTATGAGTTTGCTTGTTGCATCCAATTGTTATTTAATCAATAACACGCATGTTTTACTGAATCAACTTGATTCTTCAACCAGTCAATCTTTATTCAACAAACATTTTTTCATCTCATTTATCTGAGCAACGGAATCTTCAGAATCAACCAATTTAACTTGTGAACCAAAAAAAAAGAGCTGAACCCCCAAATTTTTTCACCAATGTACCAAGTGAAGTGTAAATCCTCAAATCATTTACCCTTGCACTTTCAATGATAAACCCAACATTTTAAACCTTTTGTGTCAATCAATAAAAATTTATCAACAATTGAAATTTAAATGTAAATTAATTGATTGTTGAAACTCATGTTAAAATGCCAACAATTAGTCAACACAAGTTTCCAATTTACGATTCATCACAAAGTAGACTCGATAAAACTGGTTCATTTGCAACACCAATCAGTAGCCGGTTAGGATCGACCACATTAATTGGTAAGTAAAACGATTAAAAACACGAGAAAACCCAAAAAACCAAAAAGAACCTAAAAAATCTAAAAAACCTAAAAACCTGAAAATGTAAATAACATTAAAAAAACTGAAACCAGAAAAAAGACAAAACAAAAGACCGAAAAATTACGATGAAACTTGTCGTGATTATCATTTGTTGCTGTAATTTATTAATCACTATAATTAATAGCCGACAATTATCTAGATTTTGAATTGATGAAAACAATTAACTTGGGTTAATACCAATCCCATGAAAAGGGTAAAATTTCGTCTCTTGACATTTGCTGAATTGGGTTTGTTTTAGATTGATTCATTTGGGTAAATCCATTTTAATCTCAATGGGGTGTATTTTTGGTTATTTTTATCTTATATGAAAAGAGTGTTAAATGGAGTTAATCAGGAAAATATATAAAATATAAGGAAATGCTTGATTATATCAAGTAAATATCATGATAGGGAGGTTGAAATATTGAGCCAACTGGATTGTTGAAACAAAAAACCAGGAAACGTTTTTCCTCTCTGGTTGTTCAACCAACATCTAGATTAATATTAATAATAGCTGCGCTTTTAATCAACATTATTGTTTACAAATGATTGCAGATTATTTTTGATTATCATCATAATCAGTTATTAACCAGGAACCAGCAAAAGTCTCAATCAAATTCACTTTTGGGTTCAACTTTAACCTAACCTTTAAAATAACCAAATGATATTTACTTTTTCCTAGATTTTTCATTTTGCAGTTGAAGAAATGATTATCTATTGAAAATAAATCAAAATATAAACTAACATGATTATCAAATTGAAATTTTTACCTTTAAGCTATCAGACGAATGATGCTGAAGTTTACTGCGTTCTTTAACATCTGTTCAATCCTATTTTCAGGTCATTCATGGATGAATCCAATACAAACACTGAGAAAATTTTTATCTCACGTTAAACATGCTCATCCAAATTTAATAAAAGACTCTAGACTTGACAGGGAATCCAATAGCGAACTGAATTTATTAAGAAAAATATTAAAAAATATTCAGAAAAAGCAAGTTAAATTGAATAAAGTTTTTATGCTCTCAGGGAAAGCCCAACAGCTGAGATTTATCAAGTCGTTTTTCATTTTCCACATTCACTGTTTACATTTGATTTCAATAAAGATGATTAATGTTTAATTGCTTTCATATTTTATTACAATTAGTAATTCCTAGTCTCTGGAAAGATTAAACCATCTCTATAATTGTACATCAACTAAATCATGTTTTCTGGTCGTCTATTGACTTTGCTAAAGCCTGTCTCTACATTAATTATTTGATTTGAGACAACAATTAAAGCCTCGATTGGTCAACTTGACCTTTTGTCTATCATATGCTGATCCAGAGGATTTCATTACCATCAGTTAATCATAATTTCATTTCAATGTTTTGCTTTAAGCTACGTATTAGGTTTCCATGGTTAACATCGGTGAAATAGTGAGGCCTACAACTAACCTATTGGGTTAACTTTTTGATTTATCGTTATTATACTGTTGATTATTTTGTTTAACAATTAATTCTTGGTCAATTGAATTACCCATTATAAAATATGTGATTGTATCAAATTAGGCAAGTCAAATCCCTTGGCTGTAAATGTCATTAAAACTGGTCAGCAGCATCTAATTGTAAATGATATCCAAATGTTATCCAACACGATCAATTAATCTTAAAACCTAATCAAATCAAAAATGCATAATAAAGCCTAATTCATTATTTGATTCAATTTTACCTCAACATTAAAGCTATAAATTATGGTTAACCCAAAACCTTAACCCAAACACTTAGTCTGTTTTTTTCCTGCTGATGTTATCAACTATTCAATCAAATTTACTGTTGATTCAAAGCAGCACTGTTAACCTTATCAGCTCATATTCAATTATAATCATAAAGGCGAAACTGGAATAACAAAATTCCTTATTCAGAATTTGAAAATTCAATAATGAAAGCTCAACTTGAATAGCAACTTATTTTTAAAATTTTGCCATTGAAACTAAATCAATTGAAAAGCAATGGAAAACGGGTTAAATTAAAATTCCAATGTAACTAAATAACAGTTGAACAAGTTATAATTAAATTTAATCAAATTGAATCCTTCTCCTTGTTGGAAACATCATTTTTTAAACCCATTAATTCAACTCCAGCGATCAAGTTTAATGCAAACTGCAGCAAAATTTTTCTGGTTAAACCTAAATGAAACAATCAAAAAGCTAACCCAATAAGTCAGTTTGACTATTTGATGAAAGCAAAATCAAATTAAAGGACACAAACCCTTTTCCTTGAATAGTGACAATCCAACAAATGATATTAATATTAATGCTGTAGGCCTAAGCCAACAGTTTGATCTTTAACCTTATATCAAAGCTAAACACATTGAAACATTGATCCAGTTGGGAATCAAAGTTAATTATCACAAGATATATCTTGTATCATTATTAGCTGCATCACAATATGATAACATTTCATTGAGAACCAGAAATAACAATATTTTCCCATCCAATTTTTACTGTACATTTGAGGCTCAATTTCAGGTTTCAATTGTAAACCCAAATTATTACATTATCCGTCCATTATCAATCAACAATTTATTTACACTTGAAATGAATGTCTTTTTCAACTGTTATTATCATTATCATTATACATTCATTCAAATTGTTGCCATAATATTGACTTAGCATTTGCATTCCACTTAACATTTGATTCCCCAATTTTTGTATCAATGTGAACCTTAACAGCATCTCAACACTCCTAGTGATTTGTATAAAAAAATATTACATCTCAAAGTGTATAATAAAGTGCATTAAATGCTAATATCATAAGCTCATGAGATAATAACAACTCTGATAAATAGGAATTATTGATGTGAAAAAAAAACATTTTCTGGTGACAATTTTGTTTACAACCAGAAAAAAATAAACTGTTCAATAATAGAGACGATGAAAGTTAGACTTGAATCTTGTGATACAATTCAAAGTGTAAATTATTAAGTCTGGTATAAATATGATTTCAAGTTTGGTTAAAGTCTTTTCTGGGTTTAAGTTCTGGTTCTAGTGTAAAGTCTAGTCCAATAACACAGTTAAATCTCAGATTTAGCTGGGAGTTCAATTCACATTTGAAAAGCTTCTATTAATAGCAATTCCAGGCAATTTTTTAATCCTCAATCTTAACTACAATCAAAAAAAACTCCATTTCATTGTAACGTTAAATGGAATCTGGAAAGGAGTAAATGTAAAAAAAATTTCCTTCGAGTCAAGAGTTGGGACTATGATCGCCTTTTATTCAATTATGGAAGCAAATTTTTTCATGAAACTCATCTTACTGATGTAACTTTTTATGATCAACCAGAAAATGAACTTATTTTAGAGCAAAAATTTTCGTTTCTGCACAAGAAGTCACTTCGATTTTCGGCTAACAAGTCTGGTTAGGCTTCAAATAGCCGTAAGAGTTAGTGAGCTTGAATGCAAATTCATTAATTCACATCAACGATCGAAGACTTTTTTCAATTTATCAAGAGTTCTCTTGATTTTGGCCATTGACCTTAAACTTTGAGCTTCGAAGGCAATCGAAGTTTCAATTTGACCTCGATTTTCTCGAAAGCTGTCGATGCATTTTTAATAGCATTAATCGGCTCAGTTTTTTCGTCTCTTCAAACCCACAAAGTCTCAACTCTTAAAGAATTTTTTTGCTTCTTTTGATGATAAACATTCAAATTCATTTGTCTGCAGATCTTTAATACTGGTTTTACATTGAAAGCCTAAAATCTTGTTCCGAAAAAGTGAAAACTGAAATCCAATTTCTCCTGAAATCTAACAGTTTCAAGAATTTTGAAAAAGCTATTATTTTTGCATTTGTTAACTTTTTTCATTTGTAAATTGAATGGAAAATAAATTCAGTTTTAACAATACATTTTTGCTTTATCCGATTCTTGGCTCCAATTGATTATTGATCAGCTCAAATGGAGTAAAAATATTTGGAATCATTTTTTTTGTTCAAATTTTTACATTATTCAAGTAAATGGATAGAGGAAAATGTTTCCAGATATTATCATATTCACTGTACTTTTGTCATTATCTTAACCTTTACATTCAACAAGTTTCAAATCTGAACACATTGCTTTTTGCTGTTTTATTGTCTGAGCATCAACCATTTGTTGTATCATTGAAAGGGTTAAATCATGAAAATGATTCAAGTTTAAATATTGATAAATTGACAACCTTGTTTACCTCTTAAAATGATAATTTTTAATGGCAAAAATATGACATTTAAAATGTATGTTGTTACAGTTTTAAATAAAAAAGGTTAAAACCCATTGAATATTGAGTTTTGATATTTTCCAATTTTCTGTTGTATAACAAAGTCTAACGATACTTGAAAATAGATCAAATTTTGGCTTCTTTTAACGAGTTGTTTTCATGTATCAAAACCTGATTCAACTTGATATCACATTATTGTGATTATCATTTAAATTGGATTTATTTGAGGAAATAAAAGTTAACCTTTTGTTTGCAATTGAAAATAATAATGTAAATTTGATCTTTACCTTTGCAAAAACATTAAATTTTACGTCAAAATTTTTACATGAAAAAAATGATTCCAATTGTGTATCAACTGATATAATTTTTCATGACAAAAATATAAATAGCGATTAGTTTGAATTGAGACTTGAAATATGGCGATGATGATGATAACTATATCTATATTAGATTGAAGATGATTTGGATTATTGAATATCAAATATTGAGATTAAATGAAGGTAAAGCAATAAAAATAATGTTTAACTTGATATCAATAACTAACTTGATAAACAGACAAAAAGTCTGGTTGATTGTTGAAGCAAATCAATTGGGACAATCGGCTATTGCAGAATTAAATCAACTACTGATCAACTTCTGGCATTTCAATGGTGGTTACAGATTTGCTTACATCAGCTTCAGTACAATACGATTCTTAAATACTGAGGATTACAATAGGAATGGTTTAATCAAATTGAAACAAAATGTCAACTCAATGATACTCCTTTCATGGCCATCCTCACCATCAACATGATCATCATTTTCATTATGATTATCATGCTTTAACTAAACATTGAATTGCTTGGTAAACTTGTAATGCTCAGGCCTTTCTGAATTAGCTTTCCTTTTCAAATGACTTAATTTGATTAAATTGTTGTTTCTCCTTGTTTATGGCTTAATAGTCAAAATTTAACCTTGCTTAATCCATTAAAACTAATCGTTAAAATGAAACCACTTCTTAACCCAAACTTAAGACGATATTATGATTAAACACATTTCAATGTTTTCCTCATCACACTAACTCAACATGTAACCAGTGCCATCAAAAAATTTTGGTAAATCTTTTTTCCTCTGAAACTCTGAGTCTTGTAGACTTGAAATGGCTGGCAAATGATAAAATTGAACTCATCTCTATGTGTGATTAGCTTCGTTGATTCAATGGCATTCATCATGATTTGCTCGTGTTTTCACTCGACTCAAGATCTTTCGATTCTGAATGGATTCTCCATTCCTTGAGCTTTCAAGTTTAAAGATTGAAGCATTTTCAGCTGATTGTTTTTGCGACTCAATGTTGAATATAAATTTATAACCATAATAAGATCAATAATAGGATCAAATGTTGCTCTGAAAAAATTGCTATCTTTCCAGCTCATGGAGACTTGAAGGGAAAAGTTATTTCTTGTGAACTTGAACCAACTTTCAACTAATTTACATATGAAATGGTTTCATTCACACCAAGAATATCATGTAATATATTATCATTTTCACCATCAACTTGATGAAGTTTCCATTTCTTTCACTATCATTGATACAGTATAACATGTAATCATTAATCTTAACCTCATCTCAACTGTTAATAATATCAGCTATTTGTTGGTAAATAAAAATATATTTCTGTTATTATTATTTAATTTATTTCAGGGTGGAATCATGAAGGAACAAAAAAGAGCTTTAGAAATGATTGTATCAAAAAAACATTGTTAATAAAACAATGTTGCTTGCAAATGCATTATTTATTATTTCAAATCTTCTCATTTTAACCTTACATTGAATTTCAGGATTATTTTAACATTCAAATGAAATAGGGTTTTCCACTTGGTTATTTCAATTAAATTAAAAGGTATAAATTGTCAACAAATGATATCATTATTAATGGCAAATCATAAGACGAAAGGTGAATAGATTTGTTCAGTTGTTAACAATTGTCTGGTGTAACCTGGAATTGATGATGAATAAAGATTGGATTTGTTTTACTCTAGTGTCAACATAATCGTAATTGAAATTCATTTCACCATGATTAAATTCATTTTTCATCTTCTTTTATTCCTGCAATTTTCAAATTAAGAGGTTTCATTGTCGATCCATTGTGATACAAATTTGGTGAAAAAATGGAAAAAATTGGAAATAATTTAAATTATCTCTTGAACACACAAAATATTGAAAAAACGGTTTTACCAACAATAGTGTTTCATGGATCAACATTAGACTATAAATTGAATAGTCTGAAGTTTTTGGAATCAATTTTCAAACTCGATATCAATTTGCTTTCATCGTAAGTTGTGAAGTGTTGATAAATCGATCAGGATCATGAGAATTGAAATGTAAATCAGATTGATTGATGCAGCAAGATGAAAGATGACAACTTATCCACGTCCATCAGCTTGATTTGATTAACAAAATGCTTTTACATTTTTGTGTGATTTTCCAAATTTTTCCTGTTCTTTGATAATGTTCACCCAATTTCAGATTCTGGTTTTCAGCTTTTCCCTCTGGTTTAAACATTGAATTAAATTGAGATAGTGAATGGCTGGAAATGGTGAAAGCAAGAGTTAAAATGGGTAACCATTAAGTGAACCTCTTTAATTATTGATACAGATTCATTGTTTCATTCCAATTCCGTTCATCATCTCTTCTTCAGTTTCCAACATTGTTTCTCATTTTTGCCATCCATTTTGCTTTCCGTCAATGATTTGTTTATTTTGATTAAAGTGAATCAACGGAATCACGTTTCTAAATTGATGGTCTTTCTTGATGAAAGAAACCCAAAATTGAGATTTTAAATTGTTAATAATAGCCTTAGAAATGGGTTAAAGAAAGGTTTCCAAAGATAATTGATTTTAAAGGTAAAGGTGTGATTAGATGTCCATTTAGGTTAACCTTTGCTGTGAATAACCCATTACATGTGTAGTTATATTGAACTAGTTTCAACTTTGATGTCCAGCTAATTTGACTTGACAGGATTAACATGATTCAAAATTGAAACACAAATTGTTGAGATCACTAAGTAAGGGTCAACTTGGAAATCAAAAAATCAATATTTCATTAGATTTCCTTTTCAATCAATTTGATCTAATTCTGTATTTTACTACTTCCCTTGCTTTTACCAAAAATGTCAAATCAATAATTAAAATTAACATCAATGGCAATGTTAATTTTGAATGATTTGTCAATTGAAACAGGCAGTGAATTGTTCACGAGTATCAATTCATCTTCAATGTATCTTCAATGTAATATCAGTTGGCTGAATCTTCATTGATTGTTAATCCCAATGTGCTGATTTTTGATGACGCTCATGATGACACTGGTTACGTGTTACGCTGTTTAGGATCTGATTGTTGATTTAAAACAGTAAATATCAAAATTGGCGTCATTTGTTTTGTAATTAAGGTTGGATGTTGCTGTAGCCGTCAAGATAAAATCCTTTGTAAATATGAAGGGTATAAAGAAAAATATGATTGATATTAATGTTATTAATAGTTATTCAATCGATGGATTAAATTGTATGAGATAATTAAGAATCAATCTCATCAATTACAGTTTGTTGCTTCCTTCTCCTTTTTTGATGACATCACTTCAATTTAAGATACTTATTGAAATTCAATGAAACATTAATAAATCAATCTTTCGTTTTTAATTACATCTCAACTCCTACAGCCAATTATGATTGCAATGTCCCAATTGTCCGTTTGTCCAGTGTTTTCATTGTGATTAAAGCCTGTCAAAAGATGGATAATTCAAGAGTTAATGATTGTTGTGAACAAAAAAAACTGATGCGGAATCACCAATTTCAAAGGAAAACAAAATGAAAAATTGGAAAATTTTGAGCCTTGCTGAAAACATGTTACATATTAGATAATAACTGAAGACCAACATTTGACATGGCATTAGAAGTGTTATTTTAAGTGATTGAAAGATTAGTGTCAAGTCCCTATATTTTTTAACTGAAACTCAGAGTGAAAATTAATCTTAATCAAATATCAGAATATTTTTCCAGCTTAAATTGTTTACAGCTTAATAGACTACTTTGTTTTTTTACATTTAACCAACGTTTTCTTCACTTTTTTTCATCCTTTTCCAATCTTCTGGCATTATATTCATCAATATCTTTTATGCGATCAAATAATTCAATAATAAATTTGAACGCTTTTATTGATCGATGGATTGAATAACTCATGTAAATGTCACAAATTTGACACTCTTTTAGTTAACATTTACTGGCAGAAGTTGGAAAAAGGGAACAAATTGAGGCTAGAATCTAAATTTGCCAATATTTTTCATTATTTATCTTCACTTTGAGATTCCATTAAGTTAATTGCTTCCCTTTCCTTTAACCATTATTATTATTTCATTATTATCGCCATCATTGTTAAGCCTTGGACTTGTCTCATCTTGAATTCATTGTAAATAATCAACCGTGAATATCATTTTAAATGGGACACTTTGTTTTCCTTCCTCTTTACACTTAAGGTTTTTCCAATTTGAATCAATGTTGTTGAATGACCAAATAATATGACAAATGTTAATGACCACTAGAAAGAAGAGAAAAGGTATTTAGTTCAAATTGTTGAATAGAAAATGAAAACAGCAACAAAATCATGATAAACTGAAAGTATTACATAGATTGAATGGTTTTCCTGTAACTGGCTGCTTAAAGAAATTTAAACAAAGATGAAATGATATTAAATTAAATTATCTCTGTCTTTTTATCTAATTTAATTACTGTGCAGGTTCTGAACATGTAGTTTATATTGTAGCTGCATCTATTTTGACTGTCGTTGTTTTTATTGCCTGTTATATTATTAAAGTTGTTTACGATAAACGCAAGAAATCTTACGATGCTATCGACGAGACAACTCGAACAATCATTTCAATGCCACAAGCACGAAGAGAATCAAGTAAATCATTCCAAGGTGTTTGTGTATAGTGAGTATTGACCAAATCAATCATTGACATATGTAACGATTATGTGTAATTAATAATGAAAATATTGTTCTGTTTTTGATCCAGTCAAAACCAACCAATTGATTTTATCCTTCCTGGTATATCTACTCATCTACAACCCGCTCCAACATCAGGAAAACAGATAACACCAGGCCATTCCACGGAACATTTACAAACTGATATTTTTGTCCATGAGATGGCAAGAAGTGATTCACATGAATCATTAATGTCCAAGAATATATCAGATGAATGTAATTTGGAGCAATCTCGATCATCTTTACTGGGAGGTTTAAACCCTGACTTGTATCGCATTGGTGGACTTGATCCAGATGAAGATGATGATTTTCCAGATAATCATAGAGGCAGAATATGGTTTAAAGTTCATTATGAAGAAAAGAATGAACAGCTGTCAGTTAATTTGTTGAAGATAAAAAATTTACCCTCCAGGGTAAAAGGATCCATTAACTGTTCTGACCCATTTGTCAGGTAAATGAAATTATTTGTTTGTTGATTTTTATGAAGATCAATCATGATTAACTTTTTCCCCTGTAATCCATGAATCCATTAAAGATAAATTTTACGCAAGACTGAGACAAACATATGGATATAGTTTAGCATATAAGAGATGAAATATTATCATTGGCAGTCTTATTCTTCATGATAACTGTAAATGCTCTTCTTGTTAGTCAGACAGTTGACTTGATTGGATAATTGAATAATATGAGAAGTAAGATGATTAACTGGATAAAAAAACAGCTACACTTATTATATGATTGTGACCTGTGAGGATGAAAGAATGAAAAGAAAACAAACTAACATGAGAAAAGAAGAAAATCAAGTAGTTGTCAATGAGTTTCTAATAAGATTTCATCAATTGATGACAGACCATTTGAACTTTTTTTCCGAGAAAAACAAATGAAACCATCTTCAGTCTTGATCCAAGACAAGTTTGACTCGAGTTGAGGTGATCACGTTGACAAACAACTTCTTAGGATTTATTATTTTTTACATTGAACCAATCATCAATTCTCGAAATACTTTCTTATTTCACTTTCTTGTCTTGTTTTTTTTCATGGTCCAATGTAATGATGATTCATTGATTAATACTCTTCGCTGGACACAACTCTGCTCTCATGGATACCAGAATCTTTCTTTTGCCTGATGGAAGACGATATGTCCAGTCAAAGGTTAAAAAGAAGACTTGTAACCCAAGGTTTGATGAGACTTTTGTTTTCCAGGTAAGAAGCTGATTACAGTCTATTCACAAATGATGAAAACAGTTGACCAGAATCAATGAACTCTTTGATAATTTCCACCAAGGCCATAGTTGAAACAAGAGTAAATGTAAGGCGTTTGAAAGTCGAGTTGTACAGTAAATAATTATCATCTAATTGGCTTTTGATACTTTGTTGAAAGCCCCATCAAAAGAGAGTTGGGTGGACAAGAAAATGTGTCAGCAAACTAGAAGAGTTACCATGATGAGAACAAAACACAACCTTTGCCATTCCCCAAAAGCATTCAGAAAATGAAAATAATTGCTGATCAACCGGAATCTAAGTCGAGCACTCAAATGAAAAGTAAACAGCAAAACAAAGCTGGCAATTAATATTTTGTAATGGATGTACGTAAATCATCTGTTGATGAAGGGTCGCGTAGGAATCTGAATTGGAATAGAAGGAAAAAGAATATTAAAATTGAGAAATCAAGAGTTAGAAGTTTATCAACAGTTAAGTAACAAATATTTACCTTACATTACGTATGTAGTTTTATGATGCATGGTTAATTGATACAATCAGAAAATTTTTTGAGATTAGTAGAAGATGATTAGATCAGATGAATTCATTAGTAAAGGTTGAAGCTTGATTGAAATTCACCCTATCCGTGTTTTTCCATGCTATCTGATTATTGTTTACACAATTTTTCACGATTTTTCAATCACGTTTATCCCCTTCACAAATGATTAATCTCCCCTGAATCTAAACAGTGAATGAATGAAAAGAAGGCAAAATCAAACAAAAAAAGTCATAACCAGAAAACCAATTTAGATACTAGGATAAGCAATGTGATCCTTTGTTTACCAAAAAACTTGTCAATATGATCGGTGATCAAGTGGATGCGAGGCCTTACAAAATATTTATGCTCTGTCATGCAAACAATAAATTACCATAATTATTGTAACAATTTGCAAGTAGGCAAAAAATGATCAATAATCACAATCCTGAATAGAGTAGAAACAGGTAAAGGGGTAAATTAATAACATAAACCTGGTAAACGCCACATCGTTGATCTGAACTTTGCCTGCATAACCTTCTAATTGGCTTGAAATTCCTTGTTTTTTCTAGGTTCCAAATAAATCTGTTCAAGATAGCTCGCTTCGATTAACAGTGTTTGACAATGATAGAGGTAAACGACACACCATAATTGGCCATGTTATAGTTAAATTGAAAGATGTCGATGTAAATTCAACTGAACCTGTACTCTTTTGTAAAGACCTGGAGATAGAGCAAGATGAGGTAAGAATAATTGAATGACTAATAAGAATAATCATCAATAGTTAAACATACACTTACATGGTATATTTTGTATTAAATTGTTAATCCTAAATCAGCCGCCATCCGAGTCCGGGGAAATAAATGTAAGCCTTTGTTACAATCCGATGATTGAAAGGTTAACAGTGACGGTGTGTGAAGCCAAAAATTTGAGGTGGCCTGATGATTTGCCACTAGGTAAGTTGTTGATTTTAAACTTCCCCTCCTTTAAAATTAAGGTTGACTACAAATAAATTATTTAATTAATTTGCTAAAATTAAAATAAAAGCTTTTAAATAACAGCAACAATGTGATTTGAAAATGGAAAGTAACCAAAGAGTTACTCTGCGAAAGTAACGGAAAAATGAATGTTGTCTTTAGCCCTTGGTAACCATTACGTTACAAATTAGCCTATGGAGTTGTTTACTTTCTCAAATTGCTCTTTTTTCCAAAAGATTATAACTGTGGTTAAATGTGATCCTTTTTTATTGTTTTCAATTTATTTTTAATTATAATAACTATTTCGAAAAGATTAACTTAAGTTCAGAGTTGAAAAATGTTCAATCATTATAAATAATTAAGTATCTCAAGTAAAGTTTACATTATTTTTTAATCTTACATATGTTTGTGTATAGAATTAGATTCAAGATACCTTCTCATGAGTGAATTACTTTCCTTTTCATGGTGAAATTTTTCTCCTTTCCTAGTTCCTTATTCATAATTAGCTCATTAATTGTTTCTCACAATGTAATACAAATGTTTTTTTTCCTTATACAGAAACCTGCGTTAAAATCAGTCTCTTTACTGGAAGCAAAATGGCTAAAGTTAAAAAGACATCAATAGCAAAGAAAAGTTCACAGCCTAATTATAATGAATCCTTCCATTTCAAGCTTAATCAATCTTCTGTGGCAATATCGCATATTTTACTCCAAGTTAATCTTGCTCATGTAGGAAACAAAGGTAAGTTTCATAAAATTATCATTTTGACAATTCATAGTCATGTCCTCATACATGGCATTTAAAAAGCACATTTCTAATTTTAACTTTTTTTGATTTCTACATTAGGAGATAAATGTCTCGGCAGAGTTGTTCTCGGGTCTCATATGTTCGCTCGTGGCAGAGCTTTGGAGCACTGGATAACTGCTATAACAACTACACCTCATAAACAAGTCCGACAGTGGCACAAATTAACTTAAGAATGGTTCTTCGAAGGATTTCAAAATGAATCGACATTACCAAAAAAGCTGGAAATTGTTTACATTTGTTCAATAGCTTTAAAACGAAGCACAGTAATAATGAGATAAAATTTTCATCGGTGGACCGACCATTTGATTAAAATTATCATCGTCATCATCTTCAATTTCGAAATCATCAACACAAGTCATACAACTTCCAACTGAATCGACTTACAGAGATTATCTTCCAATCTTTCTATCCAGTGGATATACCAAAAATCAAATTTATAAATCCATTTGACAACTGGAGTGAAAAGTATATTATACGTTATGAAATTAGATTCCAATCAACATCATCTTTAGTTTTCAATAGGCTGTATTATTTTGAAAAACCATTGTAACAAATTTAATTCTGTATTTCATAAAACTTGACCACTAGTTTACCGACGGTGTTAAATTCATTTACATTACCAAGTTTTTTTTATGTTAGAACGAGATCATAAATGATTACAGTATCCACATAAAGTCACGGTGCTTCAAAATTTAACTCAATTTTAAGACGTAAAGTCTTCAATCGATTTTAGCGCTTAAATTTAAAGAAATTGCACGATAAAAAACTAAAAATGTAAAATTTATTAGAGTTAGTCAGTTTCTTAGAATCTTTTTCTTGTTGATTGTTTTAATTCTTGCCTGACAACGATATTGTTGTTCCTTTTTGATACCGCAAAGATATCTCTACAATACTAATCGCAATTTTTATACAATGTAACTGCTTTGCATAATGGTAAAATATAAATTGATTGGCTTGATAAATGAAAATAAGTTTTTTTGCATAATGAGTTTGATGGAAGAGAATGGTTGAGTGAAGTGTCATAGTTATGGTGCCAGAGCAGCGGTTAACGTTTTACCACATGGACCTTGAAAATGAAAACCAAAATCATTTGTGGCACTTGTTTCTTCAATATTGAATTCAGCTACAGGTACTCCTCTTGCCGCTGCTGCTGGAGCTAAATTAGCAGCTGGATAAACAGCTGAGGATGTACCAATGACTAAAACTAAGTCACAGGCTGACATTTCTTTCTCAGCTGATTGCAAGTCTTCACTTCGAAGTGATTCATTGAACCAGACAACATTGGGGCGAAGAAGTCCATTGCAGCCAGACTTTTTACAATGCGGAAGATCATGTATGGGAATAACTGATTCCATTATATTGGGGTCAGGACTGCCCTTTCCTCGAAGAGCTTCACAAATAGGAGAGTCATAATTAGAGTCAACATGGCCACATTTTAGACATCGAGTTTTAAACAAAGTACCATGAAGTTCAATAATGTTGGTACTGCCTGCTTTATGGTGTAATTCATCAATGTTTTGAGTAATAATAACCAATTTACGACCTTCTCCTTTTAATCGAGCCTCAGCTTCAGCAAGAGCAATATGAGCAGGGTTGGGTGACTTAGTTAGGACCACTTCCCGGCGATAAGAGTAAAATTCCCATACCAATGAAGGGTTACGTTCAAAAGCTGAAGGTGTAGCCAACTCGGTAGCACGAAAGGTCCTCCAAAGGCCTCCAGATCCTCTGAATGTTGGGACACCAGATTCAGCAGAGATCCCGGCTCCAGTTATGGCAACAATATGCTTGGATTGGGCAAAAATGGAACGAAATTTGGATAAATCACTTGAAGGTCTTGATTGAGTTACGCCAAACATGTTGAAAAATGAATCGAGCAACTTGTATGATGAATTTGAATAAATGGAAGATGATAATCTTTTAGAAACCAGTCCATTGGAAATGAGCAATCTCAGACAGGATGATTTTAACAACATGTAAAGAGATGCCTAGAGAATAATTAACTATTTATGATGTTGAACACTAAACACGTGTCTATACAGCAAAACAATTGAGTAAAGCAACAAACAAGTTGATGAATAACGACTTTTATATAATTTATTCAACAAAGTATCATGTTATATCAAAGTAACCAACAAAATACAAGCAAAGGAAAGCTTTACAGGTGGTGGTTACCTCACTAATATCAAAAATGTTTTCAAGTGGAGTAAAAGATAAATAAATTGATTGGTTCAATGTTGGTGGTGGCAGTGGAGGTGATGAAGATTGAATAGATTTATGAGAAATAACAAAAGAATGATATCTTGTTGGTATTGATAGGTAATTAACTGGCATAATTTACATTATATCATCAACTTTAACGTGAGAGATCATCTCTAGGAGCTCTCTAACAGCTGACAATTATGCTGATAGCACAAGCTCCAGCTGATTTTACGCAAACTGTCAACATTAACTAATCAAGCTTGTAAACATAATTTCAATAAATTTACATAAGTTAAGCAATGAAATTGATTCGCAAATCAAATTATAAATTTTAAAGATATTCTTGATGGAACTCCCATGATTATTTCCCAAATAAAGTTAACAATTAAAGACCATGATTTTCTGATCTTGCAGCTCTCAACTCTACGCAATTAAGTAACAACCCTTTAGTCTAGCCGTACCAATAATTGTTATTGTTGATTGAAATTCATTGTTTTCTCGTACAACTCGCAACATGATTAATAATTTTTATTGAATTTTTATTTATAATTCGTGCTTTAATTCAGAAGCATTCAAAATCTCAATATATACCTTAAATTGTTTGATTAAATTATGGTGTTGAAAAGAGCTTCACTTTTTAAATGAAATGTACTGGTACTTGTGAACTGACATCAATCCATTGGATCTGCGTGTTTGCTGGCTATTCAAGTCAAGGAAATGGTTTCACATTGTTGGACTTTGATTAAATAATATCTAAAGGGTTTTCCTGCTATTTCAATTTCTGAATCACATCATGTTCACATGTTATTTAATCTTGATATTATCTGTTGCATGTGAAAGTTGCTCAACATCGATAACCATTATCAAATCAGATGTCAAAGTGGAACAATAACGGGAATATGAAGTGGCAAAATATTGGCAACTTGTTATTCATTGGATTGTTACAAGATTAAAGGAGTGAATCGATTAAAGTTTCTTAGGAAATTAGAATGTTGTATCAAGTGAAATACAGATACACAACTCAGATACAGAGAGAATCGTGAGCATAATTTTATTACCTGAGAATCAAGCGCACAGAATACCGAGATGATGAACAAGAAAGAAAAAAAAAGAAAGAGAAAGAGAAGAGAAAGAAGATATTTAATTCCAAGACCTTGGTTATTAGATATGTTGAACTACAATCATTCAGAATCGTTAGGAGTACAAAGTCTCCTGTTGAAGTTTCCTTGATGGAACCTTGAAACCATTGGATGTATCCTTGAAACCCCTTCTGTGACCCTGGAATCAACCAAGTTAACCTCCATTCAACATAAAACATTGGTAAACCCTTCCAACACAACCATTTTAACTCATTTTTTCACTAGATTCAGGCCTTAACTCTTTCCATAGGCTCAAGCAAAGGGTTTACTGAAGGATACACCAAAAAAGCCTATGAAGATACGCACATCAACGCACATTACCTGTTCAATTACCTTTCTCTGAGAGTTACTTTCAATTTACTTTCTTCTCTTTCTATTCTCGCTTTCATTCGCTTCCAACTCTGGCAAGCAAATTTCAAGTTCACTTTCATATCTTTCTCTTATCTCATCCCATGTATAGCCTCTGATGGTTACGATGGAACCAAATTCAAGGTGAAAGATCTTTCAAAGTAGTTCAAGGTTTGAAAGCAGAAACTTCATGGAGTAAGTAGAATCATTTCTCTATCTTTTCCTCATCTTTTTTCAATCAATACTAATTTTATTTCTCTCTTTCTTTCTCTCTCTTTCATCGTCATCACCTTCATTCTGTCCTTGACCTTGAATACCATGCCATTGACTGATTTTGCCCGTTTCACTCCTATGTTAACCTTGATACAGCACAAATGGGTAAAAATTTACCAAAGGAAACCTTGAATCTCTTCATTTTACCTTTCTTTGGCCTGAACACCTTGCATTTACCTTGACTATCATCATTTCATTTCCAAATCACAACGACCTTCTTACTTTCTTTCATCATCACCATCAACATCATCATTTCATCTTCTTTCATCTTCCTTTATCTTTCATTTCAAGATCACTTTTTACGTTGTACTTTGTTATTTATAACATTTTTACCTTCTATGTTATCAACTATTCAATATCAATTCAGACTCAATCTATTAATTTATCAACTATACATATGGACTTTAATTGTTTCCCATTAACTTGGCTATCTTGTTAACTGCCTTTAAAAAATTCATCATCATCCAAAAATGTAATTAAGGGTCCCTAAGAAATACTCTGAATGAACATAAAGTGATTTTTAGAGAAATTTATTATTGATGATTTCACCCAAATTTTTAGAATCAGAGATATTCGAAGCTAGATTTTTAGATTATTCAGCTTAACATAATGACCAGAACTTCTCAATAGAACGAGCTTTTGTACAATTTTGACATTTATCGACTTTTCTAATGAAATCGAGGCCATTTTACGCAACCAGTAAAATAAAGCAAAAATGAATTTCGAGTAATGTAATGTTTTTCCCATAGGGTTTAATAGGGAAATAGGGAAATCTCGTTTGAGCGCATCGCGTTTGACCTTATTTATTGGGTTAGCTTCACGAATATAAATTAACTTTTTATTTAAAGTGTATTTCATTTTCCAACGCAATACTCAATATCCCTGAAAAGCTGTTATTTTTTAATTTGAATCCATTCCGAGTGTTTCTTAGGAACTCTTTAACTCTTCTAAATCATTTTCATGCCACTTTCAATAGAAAGATAATTTTCCTTTTCTTTTATTCTTTGGCTATTTTTATTTCAACTTTATTATTGCATATCAAACCAATTAATATTATTGCACTCGCCTACAGAAATTATTTGAAATGTTTACAATTTTCTGACCTCAAGACAAAGAACTTTGATTAAATAGAAAGTGTTTCAATGGTCAAACACCCAGTATTGTATAACTTGTGTTACTATAAATTGGCTCAATTCACTTTGAAATTATAAAGTAATCTTTATGGAGAATGGGTTTACATCATTATTTGCTGGCCAATTTTGAACTTCTGACAATTCAATTACAATGAGCATGGTTGACTCTATGGCTATTAAAGTGTATTGAACAATCATCTCAATAACGATTGATAGCAAGCTTATAAAAAGTAACAAGTATTACCTCCTTTATCTGACAGATTGCTTTTAAATAGGGAATCATCATCACTACAAAATTGTGATTTAATAAATTCTGAGAAGTTTTTCTTTATTGTACAAGTGTTTGATTTACATTAACTCATAATATCTCAAGATTTTAGACCTTGACTGTCTCTAGCAATACACTGACCAGCATAATGGGTTAGTGATAGAAGTACAATTTAATCAAATGGAACCAATTTTCTTGGGAAAATTTCGATGAATTGACTTGTTGGTGTAACATCTATTTCAACATTCACACCAATCAATTGAGATAATGATGATAATGGCGATGAAGATGTGCTGCAGTATAATTGACCATTGAGCCAAGAAAAAAGGACTAACGTGAAAATGGTTTGCCAAAAAGATGTATAAAAAGGTCTGTCCATCCATCCAAAAAGTTCATTCAAAAAACAAAAGTCAATCGTTGAGTTGAGCTGATTTGGCTATTATTGTGCTTGCTGTGAGTTTTGTTACCATCTGGTATCGCAATTAATCCAAAATGAACTTGCTGGTAAGTCACCATTTAACCTGTAATCATCAATGAAATAATTCAGAAAAAAAAGTTTAATGTTTACTGATTAATGGTTAAAATATTTTATATTTACAGTTACCTTTCACTTTTCTCTTGTGTCTTATTGTGACCATTGAAGGAGGCTTCTATAAACATAAATACATCGTCAAGAAACCTTTTTACAAAAAGCCTGTCCATTTTGTCCACTTTCCTGTTAGACCCAAACCGGCCTTTTTTCATGGAGGAAAGTTCAAACATGGAGGATTTGGATTCAAAAAAGTCTGGTGGAAACATGGTTAATCTATGGATTATACTCTTGGAAAATTTTATGCATAAATAAAATTCAACTGAAATAGTAAGGTTTGTTTGAATTATTCCCAAGATCTTTTCAGTTTTACTTACCTCAGTCTTTTGGAACAATACTTTCTATGCTTTTTTGTATAAGATCAACTATTTGTGCAACTTTCATTAACCACTTTCTAAGAGTTGATTGAATAAAATTTTTTTGATTTGAAAACCTTTTCTCATTTATTTTGTGTAAAGCTTTTAAGACGTCATTTGGTGGATATTTGTTATTAGCATAATGATTGATAATTTCGATTAATTAACGGTTAAAAAGGTATGACTTACCGAAAGATGTTGATTATTTTGAAGATTTTGGTGGGAAAAGAAAGCATGAGTTTGTCATCAATGTTTTGAAATATTGTTGCTTAGCCATCCTGGGAATGAACCAGAGATTGAAGGATTTGACAGAAAGTCTGTTGCTTTCGGTTAGACTTTTAAGGGTTTAAGGTTTTTGAGTTTAAGGGCTATTGCTTTGTTAATTAAGACTTTTGATTAATCAGATGAAATGTTATTAACTACAGACACCATTGTAATTTAACATTTTCAGTTTTCAAAAATTAACTCAAAAGTTGAATCATAGCTAACTCCATCTACGAAACAAAAAATAAACTGATATTGCAAAATATCATTTGTCAAATTGTGATCGATTTTTTATTCCGTTGATTACCATCTGTTGAATGAAATTAATTATTTTACTTTGTGAATAACTATTGTTATGATGATAATAGAAATAGCTATATTAAGTGATAATTTTCGACTAATTTGTGACTAATTACTGTTAAAGAACTAATAATTGTTATTAAAGAGTGTACGTTTTGGATTAGTTTTTACATTCATCTTTTGTCTAACATTATAACGATAAGAGAAAAGCCTACATTGTCTTTCATTGGCATTATTTTCATCAATATCGCGCCATTCAGTGTTTTTTGTTTGTTTTCACATTATCATCATCTTTAATAATCGGAAGACTTTCAACAAACGTCGAGAACCTTTTACCTTACTGAAGATGGAACCATGGATTGTCTCTTTGTTTGGATTTTTATATTGTTCAACTGAATGCTGTTATTTCCAATCAATAATATCAAGTCCAATAAAAGACTCGTGATTTTGTTTAACCACACGATACTTTTCCGGTGTATGCTCTAGATATGAATGAACTTGAACGGAAGTATCAATTGCGTCAAATACTCGGCAATTCTGGTGGCAATGAAATAAAAGTGCAGTCTGAATTAACCAATGTTTCACAGACAAAACTTAAAAGTCACTACACTTTGAGCATACTTATAAACTAATGCATCAAACATAAAATTCACCGGAAATCGTAACAAAAATGAACAAGTCTCATTTTTCATGATCAATCAATGAATTGGAACTTTCTTTTTGCACTCAGCACGAGAAACAAACAATCCTCAGCTTATGTGATAATACGAATGTACCTTGCGCCAAATCCAGTTAAACACAAAACCATAGGATGGAAAAATTGATTAAACAAACAAAACAATTCGATTTAAATCCCATTCAAGCCAATGAATCTCCTTCAGGTGCCAATCTTAACTGTTACCAGGTAAAAATCTGGTATCACTAGCATTTCATCCATCAAACGTGAAACGAAATCAATCTTTTTTTCTCCAAATATTATTGATCTGAATTTAACTTGCAAGTTGATTGAAAATTTAAAATAAAATCTTTATTTTCTACAGTTCAACAACTCAACAAATCTACCAGTGGATCAGACAACAATCTCGACATCTCTAGAGACCAGAAAATCTGGATCTATCATTACCTCTTTCATCTTTAACCATTATTCACGCAAAATTTGTGTAAATTTACAGTTGAGTTGATTTTTTGGTGCTAACAGTAAAAGCTTGACAAAACATTTACGCCTGGAAATAATTGAAAACAAAGCCAAGACTTACATACAAAGAGTTATCCTGACATCACAATGAAATCTTTGGTAAGTATTAATGGCAAAAAAGTGTCTCTCTTTTTATCCTTTGCTGTTTTTTTAATGTTCATCCTGCAACATTTTTTTCTCTCCTCTTATACTGAACTCGTTCACTGTTGGATGAACAAAATTACAACATTAAACATTGACAATCTCAAAGAATCGCAAGTTTAAGTAATGATTATTTGATTGTCATCTGATGTATAACAATCATCAAAGAATGGTCAACGAGTCTTAAACACAGGGAAATCTCTCTATCAACTTCCACTAATATCAATCAAATTAAATCATTTTTCATCCATCTAATATGCATTTTTTTCATTTTACAGGTTTATTTTTTATTGGTCATCGTTATAATCTCTGGTTTCATCGACATTAAACCAGCAAATTGTAAATTCATACGAAAATATGGACGATTCGCTGGCTATGGACATTATTCATCTTACCATTACATTCCCCACTACTATCCATACTATTATCGACCATTCTATTCCCATTATGGTTATGGTCATCATTGGGGTGGTTGGCATCATGGAGGCTGATGGAATCCCAAATCTCAAAATCTAGATACAAGCCTAAACCCAAACTTGGAACCATTTGAAAACTTGATTTTATGTATCTTTGAATCCCTATTTTTCAACAAATTTAATCAATAACTATGTACATTGAAGTTGGCTGAATAAAGGAATCAAATCAGTTTAATTTATCAAGTAATTTGCATCATTTTATAAATTTCAAGTTTTGCATCTTTATTTGTCATCTTATTTTTTGCTTATTAAAAAACATGTTTTCATTCACATTCATATGTACTTAATTGAATCTCAAATGTTTGAAATTGCCTTCAAAAAGATTTAACGAGCTCCAGTTAACATTGAATTGCAAAGCAAGACAATCAAATTTGAAATTACATTAAAATCACGATCACATAAACTACATTCAATTGAATCGCTGATCAAAAAGCTTCAAAACTTGTAATGAATGATTTATCATAAACTACACCAATAGCTTGAAGTTAAATGTTTTCCCAATGATAATTAAATTAAATCAACAATTAATAACAAGAACTAATAAAAAACCCAAAGTACTTTCCAATAATATTTTCAAAGCGAAAACCCAAATAAAAATAAACATTTAGTCCATCTTGTCAGCTGCTTACTGATAGACTATTAGATATATGATATAATAAACAAGGGAATTGATTTATCTAATAACTCTTGATAACAAGGGTTGAATAATTCAATTGCTTATCACAGGGAAGTTCAATTATTATTGAAAATAAACACTCATGATTTACGTCAAGTCTACCAGAATTAATATAAAAACACTAATAGAGAGGTCAATCTGTTTGAAAATTTCAACTCTCAAGCCATTTTCATTTTTTATTCAAATCTTTGTTTATTAAAAAGTATATTTGAATTAAGAAAAGATTTATTATTAACTGAGATTGCGTTAATTAAACAAATGTTACTGTTAATTGTAAATTCAAGCTTTGTCTGGTTTTTCTGGTTCAACCAGAAACTGGTTAAATATCAACGGCCGATGCAAACATATGGATAGAGTTGAAGTTATGAAAAGTTTAACCACATTTATCACATCAGTTGATCAACATGTTATATCAAATGGTTATATCTCTTGAAATTGTCATCACTATCATCATGATGATCATCCTTAAAGTGAACTATGATTCGACTCAATAGTTGAAAGTTGAAACAACAATCAAGGCGACAAGTTATTAAAACAAATTGTGCTCTCATCATTTATGGTTAAGACTGTGTGACAACAGACGAGATAAACTCTAGTTGATGATGTCAACTTACTCTCCATTCAAATTGTTATTTTTGTAACTAAATTATTCCAACAAATATTGATATTGTCAATTATATTTGAATCTGTCAACTAAATAATCAGTGTGATACTCCTACAGATTAAACAATTGTTCATCTCTATTCTTAACTCAATGCATTTACCAATGGATTTGGAGACACATTTTAGGTCAAACTTATGATTCTTTCGGTAAACAATCTATCATCTTCACCCAAAATTCAACCTGCCTCTCTATTTATACCCATTTATTTTCAATCATCTATTTTCCCATCTTATTCACGTTAATTACAATCCATAACATCGTAACCATCATTGTCAACTATTTGTTTGGAGTTTTCATTAACTTGGATTCATTGGTGAACTATCATGCAGATACTCTTGGTTACTATGTAACCCTAAAAAGGGCCAAACCAAATGATGGAATTTAGGGAAAAGAATAAGAAAACATTTCTTTTTACATTTACTTTTATTATTAACAGAGTTGAATGTGACCCTTGTAATCAACTTATAACAAAGGACTAAAATGTCACCTAATAAGCTAAACTTGATCTATTGATCATCAAAACTGCAAATCTTTACCTTTTTGTCAGCCAAACAGGCAACCCAAAGACAAGGAAAAGTCAGCCAGTCTGGAGACAGTCAAAGTTGAGACATCAAAGTGGATCAACTCCACTTTGTTAATCATTTCTTCACCTCTGTTTTATTTTTACCACACAATGGTTCAACATTTGACCTCATCATCACCATCAACCACATTAGTGAACTTTATATTTTACCCAATAGTTCCACTATGAACTCAACATTATCGTTACTTTCATCAACCTCATCAAAACACAATTTACAAGTTCCTATTCCTCAACCTACTGGACTTTCAATCAACTCAACACAATCCTTGCCATCGACTACAATTAAAAGTGACATTAATCAAGCTTACTATCATCGAGGTGAGAAAAATTTAAACATAATCCCTAACACACACTCAAATCAACCCAAAAACCCGATTCTCAGCATCCTTCACTCCTTCGCATTTAAAGCCTCAAATCTTTCAGACTTGACTCTCATAATGCTGTTAGATAATTCTTGAGCTAAAACCAATCCTACAATGATTTAACCAAATATAAGAACTACATTGAACTGTATTTTTAACTGTATTTTAAAATACTATTGATCGAGTGTAGATTAACATATTTTTATAACATTTATTGAAATGAAACCTTAGATGGAAATTATTTTTTTTTGCTCATTTTAGTTCTTTTTTTCTGGTTACCAAATTGTATTTTGTTGAAACAACTTAAAAGAAGTAACTTCAGAGTCTTTATTGTTTCTTCTGTTCATGATTGTTCCAATATCTTCTCAGATGATAAACTATCGTTCAAATGAAACCCTGGTTACCATAAATGAATAGGAGTTATCAGTTGAAAGTATACAAAAATCATAAACAATTTAATATTGTTTACTGAATCACAAGCAAACAGCTATGGCTCTTCCTTTGGTTTACATTATTACTATGTTTAATATTTCCTTGAGATCGTATTCACTTCTTTTGTTTTACTTTATTCAACCATTAATATTATGATTATTAGATTTATTACTATTACAATTATGATTGTTGATAACATTTAGGTTAACCAGAAAATTAAATTGGTTAAAAGCTAAATAACTCACCAAATGTTAATTGTAGTGTAACAACATTGTAAAGTGAAGCATTAAATACAAGAAAGCAACCAAAAAGGTTAAACAGCCATATTATGCATTATAATTACATTGTTACATTAATTAACACTAATTTAAGGCTCAAACAAAGGAACAATTGTTCCATGTGTAATTAAGTAATTGTACTTACAATATTTTGTATGATTATTCATAAATTTCAACAATAATTAAGATGTTTATGAGCACTTCTTGAGTTATGCCAATTGTGAACAGTTGAAGGGCTAAGAATAGCTTAATTGTTCAATAAAACTGTCAATGATTCCTTGTAAATTTAAATTAGCATCTAAATGATGAGAAAATGTTAAGTTTATGTATTTATTTAAATCGACTTTGAAAATGCAAAGTCATTAACAATGTGACAAAAATAAAAATATTGTACCTTTGAATTCAATTTCTGGTTTTTCTGGTATTTTTGGTAGTTCTACTGATTTTCTGGTTCCCATGTAAAATGAATTCATCTTTTAAACTCATCTGTAGATCCAAATTGCCATTCAATTTATGAAAATAACTCAATAATACAGCAATTGTGTTTTAACAATCTAATGGAGTGTTTTAAAGCAAGTTTGCCAAAAATCCTGAAAACAGATGAAAACATTTTCAGTTTCATTTTTTTCTGGTTAATCGTCGAGTACTATTATCATTAGTGTGTCATGATTGTCAAATTGTATCCTCTACCAATTTGAATCATGATTACGTTTCCATGTAATTACACTAAAATCAATATCACTTTGTTTACTATTGTAATCAACTTTTTTTTCACTACCATTTGGTTTCAATACAAAAGACTTTTACCTTTTACTTTACTACCAGATTCACTTGTCCTTATTATTTCTCTAAACTTACTCTTCTTATTGTTAATATTGTTCAAATGTTTCTCATGAATATTCATGGAGAAAAGATTCTCAAAAAAAACAAAACGACTAAAGACTCCGGTTTTTCACCAAATACTTGACAGAGACAATAATGTAAAACAAAAAAAAATCGTTCTTGTAATGCATCTCAATGCAAATCTCACTGTATACATGGTTGAACCATTTGAACAAAACATAACAAACCAAACAAAATAAAATTGAATCACCAATAATCAATCAAATTGCTTTTTCAACTGAAGGAAACGATCAAATTAGATCCAGTTTAGCATCATTATTGATTTATCCATTTTAAATACAATAGTGAGCAATTAAAAACTGATCACTATTTGATTAATAACGTAACTACAATCCCATCAAGATCATTGACTTAACCTGAACTAGGAACCCAAATAAAGTAATTTTTTAAAACCCAGAACATCAGAAAGACTTGAAATTTAATTATTTTGGTTCATTTTTTAAAGTTAATATAATGTTTGAATGATCCAAAATGTATTATCTTTATTCTGATCTCAATCAATCTTTTGTGTGGTTGAAATGATCATTATTTTCACGGTCATTTCAACAATTTAAAAAATGTTTTGTACGTTATTTAATTACGAATAGCACTTTACATCAATCAATTTAATATAAACCATTTATTTGGTTACAATAGAGTCATTGATATCAATGATATTTGATGAATTGAAGCAAACAAAAACTAAAAAATCCTAATTTACATGTTTTTTTATTGTATCCCAGTCAGTCTTTATCATTAACTGATTCCCCATCATTATTCACACTTTTTGTATCATTTTTGTCCATATCATTAAGTCTGTAAAGACAAAAAAAGTAGTTTATATTGATGATTATTGTATAATCCAGAATCTAATATATTAATTATAACAGTTATTAATTCATTTGTTTATTTTCCAATAATTAGCTTGGTTAAACCTTAAAAAATTGTAATAATGTCATGACAAGCATGGTAATCAAAAGTTATTATACATTATATCATGATTCAATTATTCAAGAACCTTCCCTTTTGATAAATAAATTAGTATACAATAATAGATGATTAACCAATTGCTTTCTGTTCTCTTCTTTAATCATGTTCCAGGTGAATCCGTCAATAGGAGTTCAGTCATTGTAACAGATGCATTGGTTAGTCCATTGGATTTAACGATAATCATTTTCGTTCTTCTTCTCTGGTTAACAACAATATTAATGTGTATAAACAAATGGGGCAAAATACGAATGATTGAAGCTTACCAGCCCACATTTCAGGCCGCTGATGAGGAAGAGTTTACCACCAGGAAGACGACTGTTCGACAAGCCTCATCATCGTGTAAATCAGCGCTCAATCGATCAACAATTCGCATTATACCCTCTGAAGTTGATCTGGTCAACATGCATGATTCCTATTCAGTTGGAGTTACTCGATCAGTTGATGTACCCGGAATCTTACCCTTAAGGTCGACAAGAGCAGGGACAGTGGGACTTGATGGCAGTGGGGGCACTTTGAATGGTGGAGTTGGAAGGTCAAACAATGGTGACAGCAATACTCGTGTTGGAAGGGAAATACGAAATATACCTCGAATTGAAATATCACCCATTTCCTGTACTGAAGAGCGTAAATGTAAAAGTCTAGAAGATGTTAGGGTTCGCTTGCTTTCTTGATTCCCTGACAAGACAATCATTTTGAGGACAAAAAAAGGTATTATTAATATTAGATGATGATTGAGAATGCTAGAATGAAATAATTCAATTATTGTCATGGATATATTTAACAATTATATTTGTTACATGCAACATTTGTTTCATTCCAAGTAACATGCAATTTTCAATTTTATCATTCATTACAACTTGCATTTATTGGTACAAAATTGAATTGTACATTTTTTTGTACTCGATTCAATTGCCTTTGTTATTGTAAGTCAATATAAAGTCGTTTGTTAATTATAAATAAGTCAATTAACAAATAGTTGGACAAAAAATGGACCAAATGAAGCAAAAAAAGTGTCTTCAAAAACGCAAGTTGTCTCTGGTTAACATAATTCAATAGTGTAATTAAAAGTGACAATTGTTTTATTTCCCTTCTATGATGAATTTAATTACAATCTAATCGTGTCACAAGTCTTATTTAGCATCTGTTTCCAGGTTAAACATTGTTTTTCCCTGATTTGATTTGCAAGTTAATCAAAAGATCTAATATTTTATTGTATATTTTTCAGTTCGCCAAACTATCGATCCAATTGCTGTGTAAAGAGATGATCCAGGCAATCAGTATGATCAACAAAATTAAAGCCGACGGAAATGTGATTTCCAGATGATTAAATAACCATCAAAAGGTTACAAAAAGTATTGAACTGATTGAGTTGGAGACCAAGATTGAAATATTGGATCAACCAAAGGAAACCGATAAGTTCAATGGATTTGACTTTGTTTTGTGTTGGAATGGTTAAAAGTCATTGTCAATTATTAGATGGACACAAAGCCAATAAATTTGATGATCGACTTTGCCAAAGAATCAAGAAACAGGTCAAATCAAATCAAGCCAAATCAATGAAATTATTTTTCTTTAGTTTCTTTTCTCTTCCTTTTTGATAAAATGCTCGACTAACTGAGCAGATTTAATTGTATTATTGTTATCATTATTGTATTGTCTTACATAGATGAACATCAACAATTTAGTAAATAATTCTTTCTCATATTGTTAAGGCACAATTTAATTTTAATGAAAAGATGAATTTAATTCAATTTAATGATTCGTCCATTTTAAGGGTTACAAAGTTAGATGTTTGAATATTTATCAATGACAAATTAATGGTTGTGATTGGGATTTGAGGAAAAATATTTTTGTGTTAAATAACATTTTGATTTTATTTAGAGCTCAGTTCGATTGCGGTTCGTTCTGAGTAAATATATAAACTAATTTTTGAGCTTTAACATTTACTAATCACAAATTTTTCATCTACAGATGCTTGATATAATTTGTGAATTAATATCTGATGCCAGTAATTCTAATAATAGTTAACAAATTATTAACATTTCATCTCGGATATGTTATCATTCCATTGTTTCTTCGACAAGAATCACGTCGCATGATTTATGCACAAAAGTAGCAAAGAGAAAAGCATTAATCTGAATTTCCAATGGCCATTGGAGAGAAACGCCATTATGATTATAACACAATGAAATGATTTTTGCTCTCTTACATTTGCTTATCACAAATTTTTCCTCACGATAATAGGTACAATGTACCTGAAACAATAAAAATTTCAGTAAATCGTGAAATTTCAATTTTTTTAACGATTCCTGATTCCAAGAATTCTAATAATATTATCAATTTATTGGATATATTATCATCAGATTGTTTTTTCAAGCAGAATCACGTAGTGCAGCGAAGGAGAAAACACTAACCAAAATTTTCATTGCCATTTTAACCACCATTCCTCATGATAAGCAACAAATTATAAATATAAATATGCTAATGAAAAATTATTCAAGATCCACTTGAGCAAAAGATTGCTAACCTACTGACTATTATTGCTCGAGTTTACTTTTCATGTAACCGTTGTTTCAAAATGTTTCACAAAGTATTCTCATTGCTTTTACTCTCGTTGTTTGGTGTTAAGTTTTCGAGTCAAACGATCCTTGAAAGCAAGTGTATTGATAGATGTGAACCAATTAGATATCATTTATTAGACTCTAACATGGATCATGAGTTAACAGCAGTTTTCCAAATGGAATCGACAAATGCTTTCGAACCGAAACTAAGTTTGGAACTGATGAGATATAAACAATACATTTACCGTAGTATTTTCAAATATTCAATCTTGTTTAAATTCAGTAACAAGGATTATAAATTCATCTTTAGCAGATCTCCTCTTCGTGTAACACATTGCAAATCTGGTTTTGCTGGCAACGAGAACCCATCTAATCGCAGCATAAACGAAGACCTGAATTCGTGTAAATGGCTTATAAATGTTGGTATGAATAGTACGATTGAAAATGAACTTGGAATTGGAACGACATCATATGACTTGATAACTCAACCAAACGAAACATTAATTGAGCTTTCAAGTTATTCCTCGGGAAGATGGTCCATGAGTGAGATTGCGGCTAATAATTTGACTGATCCTCCAATATATCATTGGTCTTATGCTCGATACTGTGAATATAACAAGAAAGTATACGATTTTGATGGCGATATGATAACTTTGAAGAAAGACAATAATTCATTTGAATTGTTCATCTACCGCTATGCTAAGTACGAAGTCAAGAAACCTCGACATGTAACCTTGATCAATGCAAAAAACAGTTCAATATCGATCTCTTGTGATGATGATAGAAATGATATCATTGTTTCGACTAAAACTGGCTCCAACGAAAGTTCAGTGTTGGACAAATATATATTCAGAAAGCACATCGATAGCCTTCGATGTGGCATCTCTTTGTCGATCGAAATGGAAAGCGAACATTCATCATTTTCTTTTAATGATGCACCATTGAAATTAATTTATAAGACTGATGATTCTCATGAGAATATATTAATAATAATAATAATATAATAATACAAAAAGTAGAATTTGATTCTGACTTCACTGTTGTAGATGAGCCTAAAATTGTAACTTCTACATTAGCCTCTGTGGATCAACAGATTTCCTTCGATGAAAACCAGAAACATGATGCAGTAAATCCTTTAGTAGGAGTTTTCTTGACTATAGTAACTGTAGTTAAATCGTATTTCGATCTTTGGTAAACAAAAAATTAGTTATCGTACATAAAATAACTAATGTAATCCAATTGCTGAAAATTGTTAGCAATCATAAAGTGTCTCTCTCACATCATAAGCCTCCATAGGATCAACTCATAGTTGTGCCCATACTGCTCTCTGGTACCTTAACCAGAATAGACAAACGAAGACAGATCCAATGTCTACTTTTCTAATGTGCCCTTCATTTTAAATCTCTCATTTTTATTTGACATAAAACCCATTTCACCGTTAATCACACAGATCTCAATAAAGAAAATTACAAAATTCATCAAACTCCAGTAGTGTTTCTCGATTTCTGCAAAAATAATCAATCAACGTTTTTGATTATTTTTGAAGGAATATCAGTAGTATAAAAAAGCCATTTCTGGCTCATCGCGAAACCGGTTACAATAAAAAGTTTAAATGAAAGTAAAACTTTATTTTAATTCAAAATTATTTCCCAACTTGAACCCAAGTGTCACCTTGGGAATCAACAACAACTTTGTTAAAGATTATGGATTGATTATGAACAATATTTTTCAAACAATTTAATTCTTCATTTAACTGAATGATCAAAAAGTAGCTGTCGCTAACATGTTTTCCGATACCGTTAGAGCAGAATTTTGTTTATCAATTTGAGTTTGCATAGAAGCCAAAGAAGCGCTCAAGTTCGAAATTTCCGTTTCTTGCACGTTTTCCACAATGAAATTTTCTACATATGTTTGTAAAGTTGATGGTGATTCCGATGTTGGTTCACTTTCCATAGGTGAAAAAGTAATCGTTTCATCACCAAAAAGATCTTCGATGGTTGAAGAAACTTGCAACATTTTGCAGACTAATGGAGCACAATATAATGAACTTATGATGACTATGAGATGAATGTAACTGATGATTTAAGTTCAATTTTACCGAATTCGCATACCAATTCAGATCAAAGCGCATTACATCTTCATTATAATAAATATATTGATACATAGATAGCATAGTTTACCCTCAGTAATCGGAAATAAGTTGATCATAATAGATTTTTGACATTATAATTTGACCTTATTCATTACACATATTAATCTTAAAAAAGTTCAAGGATAAGATTCAACCTTCAATCCATCATAGCAATGCAAATTTATTTAGGTTAGCTAGTTTAGGTCTCAAACGAATAAATCCAATCACTAATAATCATAAATGTAAAGATAATGAGTAGATGGTAGATCAGTAGTAGGAGTAGATCAGTTTCTACATGAGCATAAAACTTAGTATATGAATGAATAAAATTGACCATTCATTCTATCATCAAATCATCATCTTATCATCAAGTTAATTATTGAATCTTGTTTCATCGTAAATCTTCACTTTTTTCCTTAAAGTTAATATCTTTGCTGTTATTTGGTCAACTGCATTCACAAACCACATTCAGATACCTGGAGCGTTGGAAAGTTGGTTATCGTTGATAAGCATCTATTTGCTGGCCTTTCGTTGAAGCATAAGGAGCAATAAATCTTAAACTTTGGAAAGTTTACTCATTACGGAAGCATCCAAAAGGTAAATCTTTTATGATTCAACTGATTTATATTGCAGGGTGAATATTCATTCATCTTTACTTTTTTGAAACGAATGATCCAACTTACAATTGTAGTAATTCACATACTAAATGAAGCCAATCTTTAACTCGAGAGTTTTTTTTTGCAGTTAAACTTTGGTCAACTAAAACTCGACTTTTGCTGAACTGCTCCATACGGTTTATATCTTATTAGTTAGGTCCTTCAGAGTCAAAGAGCACAATACATTGCTAGCCTTGATCGATCCAGTGAATCTGAAGAATGAGTGTGCACACAGGATTTCGAACCTGACTTTGGTCAATTCAACTCAGGTTTTACTCATCCGATTTTGATGTGTTATACCGTTGTTTATCGAGCTCAATTAGACAAAGAGAACGATACTTCTTGATCCATCAAGTGGTTCTGTAGATGCAGTGTGCACAAGTTGGTACCAAATAGGTTTTCGAACTTGACTTTTGATGCATTGCATTGTATGCAGAGTGCTATGGCCCTCATTGCAGTCTTGCAAAATGTAAGAAAAAGGGTTATTTTTCCAATGACATGAAAGAAGTGCAGCCAGTGCTACTAACCATGAAAAGAGCTATTGAGTGCATTACTTTTACCTATACCTTTTCCTTTTCCTTTTCCTTTTCCTTTTCCTTTTCCTTTACATTTACATTTACATTTACCTTTACATTTAACTTTACATTTACCTTTACCTTTACCTTTACCTTTACCTTTACCTTTACCTTTACCTTTACCTTTACCTTTACCTTTACCTTTACCTTTACCTTTACCTTTACCTTTACCTTTACCTTTACCTTTACCTTTACCTTTACCTTTACCTTTACCTTTACCTAAAAATGTCCTGATTACATGCATTTTTCAATAAATTCAAAGATTGGGCAAATACAAATGATTATAAATTAGAAATAATTTAAATAAAAATACAATTATTTATGTTTAGCGTTTTCTTCTATAAGAGTGTCTTTAACTTTTGCTTCTAATATTCTAATGTAATTTTGAAAACCTATTTGGTCCCTATGTGTGCACAATTTATCTAAGGAATCACTTAATGAATTTAGATGTGCAAACCATCATTGTCTTGAGCTCAATTAGAGCTATCTAGCAATATATAAATCATTGGAATCGGATGAATACAACTGAAGTTAACTTTGATCAAAGTCAGGTTCGAAAACCTATTTTGTCCCTCCGTGTACACAATTTAGTTAAGGAACTACTTAATGGATTCAGACGTGCAAACTATTGTTTTCTTCGTCTAATTAAGCTCTGAACGATGATATAAAACTCATAATCGAACAAGTAAAACCTGAGTTGTAATTGACCAAGCTAGTCATATATAAATTTATATAAATTTATTTTTAGATGTCTTACGATAAGGTCAGCAAATTGTCAACG